CTTCTCAAGAGGATAGAACTGAGCCATTCTGAAGCCAGGAACCAGTAATCTATCATGAGGGCGCAAGGCTTTGGGCCATCCTTCACTGCTTTCCAGGCCATAAGCAAGGAGCTGGTTGGGAAGTGGAGCAGCAGGGACACAAATCATTGCCCATATGGGATGCCAGCACTTACAAGAGAAGGATTAGCCTATTGAGCCTTGGCACTGGGCTCAGTAATGTATACTTGTATTAGTGATATTCTACAATTAATGGACTTCATGAAGACCTTATTTTTTTGTTGATGTTGTTGCTGTTTATTATTATTATTATTATTATTATTATTATTATTATTTTAAGACAGATTTACAGAGAGGGAGAGACAAAGATTCTCCCATCCACTGGTTCACTCCCCAATTGGCCACAGATGCTGGAGCTGAGCTGAGCTGAAGCCAGGAACCAGGAGCTTCTTTCAGGCGTCTCATGCAGGTGCAGGGTGGATCGCGAAGCTTTGGTCATACTCCTCATTTCCCAGGTTGTAAGCAAGGAGCTAGATGGAAAGTAGAGTAGCTAGGACATGAACTGGCACCCATATGAGATGCCAGCACTGTATGGTAGAGAATTAGCCTATTGATCCACTCCACTGGCTCCAAGATCTTATTCTTGAAAGATTGATTTACAGGGATATTTTGGTCAAAATAATACATTTATAATAAAGTATTAGTTATTTTTATTTTATATGTAAGATTCATACTTTATTCATAGTTAATTTGTATTAAGTTGGATGCAGAACTATTAAAACTAGTCTTCATTTCTACTGGAAACAAAATAGCAACCTTACTAAGCATAGATGTTCCTAAATTGCTAGTCATCTATACTTTATTTATATCTTTCGTGTGTTTGGGCCTGCTGTAATAGAACTTGTTTGATATATTTTTTTCTTGATTTTGGGGTAAATCTGAAGGCAGCTAGTTGTGCCTTGATCAAAACATATTAGGATAGCAAAAAAGACATTGTGACTTTAAATAGAATACCTCAGGATAAAAGGCTAAAATTGTGGATATAAGATCTTCCTGTCCTTGGCTGTCAACTGTAAAAACAAACAAAACCATCTGCTGAGCTCTGAAGGGTGGAAGCATTCAGTGCCGTTCGGGAGCTCAGACAGTGGGGAACTTTGAGGAAAGTCAGCTCCTGTCTAGGGGGACAGTGCGTATAAAGTTTAGATGGATCAGTGTTAATTTGTGTTGGAAAGTTGTAAGGAAAAGATTGGAAAGATATTTGAATAAACCTGTAGAAGATTTTTAGCTGGTACCATATTAAGGATTTTGAATTCTCTTGCAATAGATCACTCTGAACAGGGGAATAATACTAAATTATATTTTAGAAAAATAAATTAGGTCATAACATGTAGAGTAAATTTAAGGAAAGAGAAATTGTGTAAGACATTCATTACATTTCAGTGAAAAGTATGCTATCATTGGCAGTTAAAATGGAAAGGAACTTGGCACAATGGTACAGCAGCCTAATCCTCCACCTGTGGTTCTGGCATTGCATATGGGCTCCAGTTCCTGTCCCAGTGGCCCTGATCCAGCTCCATGCTTATGGCCTGGGAAAGCTGCGGGGATAGCTCAAGTCCTTGGTCTGTGGCATCCACATGGCATACCTGGAGGAAGCTACAGGCCTCAGGCTTCTATTTGGCTTTGGCTCAGCGCCGTTTTTGGTGGTCCTGATGCATGCAAGGCATGGTTAGCCACTAGGCCAGGGTCAGGTTGTAGCCAGAAGCCAGGAGCTTCATTCAGGTCTCCCATGAGGGTGGCAGGCATCCAAATATTTACGCCATATTCTGCTGCTTTTTCTGGTCATGTTAACAGGAAATTGGATCTGAGGTTGAACAGCTGGGAATTGAATCAACACCCCTGTGGGATGCCAGCATTGCCGGTGGAGGCTTTACAGCCCCTTCCCTTCCAGGTCGCAACTCTGGCCCCCTTAATTCTATTTTTTTCTTCTAAAGATTTATTTACTTTTATTGGAAAGGTAGATCAGATTTGCAGAGAAAGGTAGAGAGAAGTCTTCTATCCGCTGGTTCACTCCTCAAATGGCCATAACGACTGGAGCTGAATTGATCGAAGTCAGGAGTTGGTAGCTTCCTCCATGTCTCCCATGCTGGTACAGAGTCCCAAGGCCTTGGGCCATCCTCTACTACCTTCCCAGGGCACATGCAGGGAGCCGAACAGGAAGTGGAGCAGCTGGGACATGAATGAGTGCTCGTAGGGATCCCAGCTGCTGCACAGTGCTAAGGGAGGGGTAGCACGATGTTGGAGCAGTCTATTAAGTGCTGCATAACCATTTTTCCTCTTTTGCACTGGAGTTATCAGAAACAAGAGGAAATGATTTTTTTTTGTTGTTTTTGAGAACTATACTGCATATAATTAACCATTAGATGGGTAATGGAAATTCACATCTTGTATCTGTGATTGTAAGAATCACTGTAGTTCAGTGTTGACATGTTAGTAAGCAGAATCTTTGTCATTTTTCTCCTGTCTGAGTGTTCTCTGTCTCTTTCCTGTCTCCCTGCTTTCCAACCCTCCATTTCTCAGCCAGTCAGGGTAGAGAGATGCTAGGGGGATGTTGAGAAAGTATATTTGAATGATGGACAGCCTATATTGGCTCTGCTTTCAATCCAGCTTTTTTTTTTTTAAGGTTTATATATTTTTATTGGAAAGGCAGATATACAGAGAGGAGGAGGGACAGAGAAGATCATCTTCCATCCGATGGTTCACTCCCCAAGCGGCCGCAATGGCTGAGCCGATCCGAAACCAGGAGCTAGGAGATCTTCCAGGTCTCCCACGCAGGTGCAGGGTCCCAAGGCCTTGGCCCATCCTGGACTGCTCTCCCAGGCCACAAGCAGGGAGCTGGATGGGAAGCCAGGGCCGCCGGGATTAGAACCGGTGCCCATATGGGATTCCCAGCTCGTGCAAGTCGAGGACTTTAACCACTGCACTATTGCGCCCGGCCCTCAATCCAGCTTCTTAACATCACACACCTTGGGAAGCGCTGAGTGCTGGCTTAGCAACTCGGGTCTCTGTCATCTACATAGGACACTGGTACTATATTCCAAGTGCCTGATTTTAGCTTAGCCAAGTTACTCCTGACTTAGAAGGAGTGACTAGTGGATGAAAGATCTCTCTCTTTCTCTCTCTCCCTCCCTCTCTCTCCCCTTCCCCCCCATTGTTTTTATGCCTTTCAGATACATAAAAAATAAATGGAAGTTTAAAAAGGTTACTTGTATTTGAGTGAGAAACTGTAAATATTTAAAGTGAGTCTTAAAGCTAGTATACTCATTTTAGTTATGTCACAGTATTAGGCATGTATACCAAGTGTATATGTAACCCTCAACACAGGTAACACCTGAAATGTAACAGTTCTGTTTTCATTGCAGTTAGACAGTTAAAGGGCTGTGTAAGATACGGCCAACGTTATGAAATGTACACTAGTTCTAGGTAAAGCTGCTTCCGACTAGCTCCCTGTGAACGGCCTGAGAAAAGCAGCAGGAGACAGCCTAGGTGCTTGGGCCTCTGCCTTCTATGTGGGAAGCCTGGAAGCTCCTGGTTTTGTCCTGGCTCTGCTATGACTATTGTGGTCACTTGGGAAGTAAACGTGCAAATGGAAGATCTCTCTTCATCTCCCTGTTCCTCTCTCCCTCTCTCCCTCTCTCTCTCTCCTTTGGAATTCTTTCAAATAAATAATTTTCAAAAAGGAAGAAGAAAAAGTTTTCTTGGTATGTTGCACCCACATGGGAGACCTAGAAGAAGCTTCTGGCTTCAGATCAGCTCAGCTCTGGCTGTTGCAGCCATTTGGGAAGTCAACCAGTGGATGGAAGATTTTTCTGTCTCTCCTCTCTGTAAATCTGCCTTTCCAATAAAAATAGATAGATAGACAGATAATCAAAAAATGGGTTTACTTGGATTATACCAGTGCTTGAATTCATTTTTCATTTTAAGGGAGTATCTGTGTAATTCTATGAATTTAAAATTAAGTTTAAGGGGTGGGCATTTGGGGCAAGTTAAGATGCTGTTTGCGTTGCCTGACTCCCGACCAGAGTGCCTGGATTCAAGTGCCAGTTGCTATCAGTTTGATCCAGCCTTGGGAGTCAGCAGATAATGGAGTAAGAGCCTGGGTTTCTGTGACCCACATGGGGCGCCTGTGCAATTTAGGCTCTGGGCTTTGGCCTGGCCTAGGCTGACAGCAGGCATTTGCTGAGAGCACCAGCAGTTGGGGGATCTTTGATTTTGTTTGACTTTATAACAAAATTAAAACAAAATTTTAACAACATTCAATTTTAAGAATAATTTAGACTTACAGAAAATAGCAAAAGTGGTAAAAATTCTGATACAGGCTTTATCAACTCTTGTATTGTTAACGTTGTACATTCATGTAGTACAATTGCTAGCACTAGGAAGCCAACATTGGTATGTTAAGTAAGTGCTACAGTCTTTTGGGATTTGACTGCTTTTCCCATAATGTCTTTCTTTCAACTGCTGGATACTATTCGGGATACCGCTTCACCCCTGGCCATTAGACCTTTCAAGGGTCACTTGGGCTCAGGGTTTTGTTGTTGTTACTTGATAGCCTGTCAGCTTTGAAGAACATGGGTCACTTATTTTGTAGACTGTCCCTCTAGGTCTGCGTGATGTTTTTGTTACGGTAGGGTAGGATTGTAGGCTTTTGAGAGGCAGGCCACAGATAATGTACAGTTTTTATCACTTCATACCAAGTATACATGCTGACCACATAGCTTTTGATTTGTGCTCATTGTGCTCACCTGGCTGAGGTGGCATTGGCAAGGTTCTCCACCAAAGTTACTTTGTTCTCCCTCTTTCTACTCTACTGTGGGGAAGGAAAGTGTTAACTGACACCCTTGAAGGGAATTATCTACAAAAGGTACTTGAAATCTTCCAATTCTTTTTTAATTGTATGGAAATAAATGAGTATTAAATTGGTCTAACATATCTGTTCTTTGCAGGGTGGAAAACCCCGTAAACACCGCAAGGATCGGCTACAAGATTTAATTGATATAGGCTTTGGCTACGATGAAACGGATCCATTTATTGATAATTCGGAGGCTGTGAGTAATATATATATGTATATATTTTTAAAGATTTATTTTCTTTTTATTGGAAAGGCAGATATACACAGAGGAGGAGAAATAGAGAGAAAGATCTTCCGTCCGATGATTCACTCCCCAAGTGAATGCAACGGCTGGTGCTGTGCTGATCCAAAGCAAGGAGCCAGGAACTTCTTCCAGGTCTCCCACATGGGTGCAGTCTCAAGGCTTTGGGCTGTCCTCAACTGTTTTCCCAGGCCACAGGCAGGGAGCTGGATGAGAAGTAGAGCTGCTGGGATTAGAACTGGTGCCCATATGGGATCCCGGTGTGTTCAAGGTGAGGACTTTAGCCACTAGGCCACGCTGCCCAAGTAATATATTTTTAATGTAGCAGCAAATTCTTTATTTTTTTGGGATAATAGAAGTCATAGATAAAGTAAAATTCAATGAATGTTTTGTTTTTCTTAACTATGCTTTTTTTTAATTAAAAATTATTTTTAATACTATTTACATAGTTGAGAGGGGTGCACACCAGTGTAGGCCTCTGATTAGGTTGAGGGGATTGAGGTACAGAGGAAGGGGTGGTGGGACCAATGTTTCATTTTTTTTTTCCTCCTGTGTTCGCATGGCCCAGGATGGGAGGAAGGGATCACTCCATGTTGTCAGTCTGCATCAGTACCAGAGGATGGGGACAGTCATTTAATGACACCTGGGTCCAGTGTGTGGAAGAGTGTTCAAGGATGTTACTTGAGAGGTTTTCATAGTTCTGAGACGTAATTGACTTTATTGCACCAGGGTTGGAGAAATCTTTCCAAGGTTTTGACTGATTAAGTCCACCTTAGTGCATCCACAGATCCAGGTACTCGCTGCAAAGCTTTTTCAGGAGAGAGTTCCAACCTGTTCTGCTTTTCATCTCTAATGAGGCACTTAATATCCACTGCTGGCCTAGTTGGGTTGGCACTTGTGTCCCAAGTGTGCATCGAGGCATGCTATCTACTGTATAGGCTTTAGCAACTGAAAAGGCTTGAGTTCTAAATGACCCTAGAAGGAATTTAGCCATATATAAGTGAACGTTCAGTGCACATCACTAACTTTTTAAAACATTATCCTCTAATTAAAAAAACTTTTTTCTCCATTTATTTGAAAGGCAGAGAGAGCTTTTATTTGTGGTTGACTCTCCAAAGGTGCTTGGCCAGGCTGAGCTCAGGAGCCAGGAACTCCGTCCAGGTCTCCAGCATGACTGGCAGGAACTCAAATACTTGGCCTTCATCTGTGCCTCCCAGGGATACTCACTCCAGCCCAACACCCACCCCTAAATAGCTTTTTCAAAATTAGTAAGCCTTATGTTTGAACAGAATTTTAGAGCCACAATAAAATTGAGTAGAGGTACCCACTTTGACCTCATTCTACCTTTTCCCACTCCCATCTACTTTCCATTATTGATCTCCCGTACTTGGTGGTACATTTGATACCAGTGATGAATCTGTATTGGAAAGACATTATCACGGAAGTCTACAGGTTACATTAGGAGTTTTAATGCACACTCTGGGTTTCTGCAAATGAATAATGACATGCATCTGCCATTGTACTATTATCCATTATAGTTTGTCCTGAAAATCCTTTGCGTTTTGCTTGTTAGTTCCTGTCCGTCCTAACACCTGGCAACCAGTGATAGTGTCTTCTTAGAATGGTTGAAATCATATATGAACAAGTTCAGCAGCTCTTATCTGAGATGCTTAGGCCCAGGAGGACGTTGAATTTCAGAGGATTTCTTTTTTGGATTTGGAGATAACTGACTTTCGTAGCACAGTTTAGAGGGCATGGCCAATCATTTTAGAGAATGTGAAATAAAATAGAATTGAAGTTATTTGATGGTAGGTTATGTGATTTTTACTGAATATGGTTGTGGGTGCTAGATTTTGATGTGTAAGATATTTTTCCACTTGGGTTGTAGTGATGATTTGAAAGCTACTATTCTATAGAGCATACATTTGGTAGGTATAGAGTTTTGTGGGTATAACCTGTTGAGTTGTAGAATTAATTACTAACAATTACAAGACAAGGTAGATCCCTGTTTTGTACCAGGTTGTTTGACTTGGAAAGTAATTTAGTATTATCCTTGTAATGTGTTTCGGTTCTTTTTATGAGGTAGTTCAGACATTAAACAATTGGAGTCCAACCAAATGAGCTCTTTGTTCTCTTTGCTAACCTAACCTTTATTGCCAGTAAGCTTTTGTCTGACTGAGGTGTTGATAGGCAGAGCCTTGTATACCCCCACTTTTCTGCTGCAAACTGAGACTGAAGATCTTGTGGAAATGAAAGAGTTTTGTAGAGCAACCTATATACGGATCTGCAGAGCAGGGCTACGAACCCTCTTGGCCCAGCTGCAGCAAGGCTTATGTCTTACTCCACAGAGAAGAGGTGCAATTCTAAGCTTTTATGAATGATAATGGAGCTGGGGTGGGAACTTGTGTTCTAACCTCACTTTGCTATGATCTTTAGAAGCAGCCCCTGAGACATCTTGCTGGCTTGTCCCACATTATCAGAATGCTCCTTCTAGCACCTCAACTTTATAGCTGGGAAGTAGCCCAACTAGAATGACAAGGGCCACTCCTATTGAGAGATGTCACTATGGTTTACAGTCACAACCCTCAAAGTCTGTTATTTGATAGAGGGTGAAAATAAAATTCTAATTGATTCTTTAGGATCATGTACTGCTTGCTAAAAACACCTGAAGATAGAATGTTCTTGAAGATTAGTTTCTTATACTACCAAATTATAAGAGGAAAGAAAACGCCTTTTTAAAAAATAAATAATAATCCTAGACATGAATAATATTTTATTGAGGTTGTCCCCTTTAATTAGAACTTTGTAAAGTAGTATGTCTTGTAGATGTGAAGTGCTTTGCCCTGAGTCACAATAGCTAGTTCAGTCAAGTAGAGTCAAGGCCTTCTGACTCGCCAGTTCAATGTTCATTGCTTCTTAACGTATTTTACTTACAATCAGTGTAGTTTATATTCACAGAGCCTGTTTCCCAGAAGAGTAAAGCTCCATAGAAGGTTATATAGGATTTGTTCATGTCAAAGTTGCCATGCACATCTAGCAGTAAACATTTTCCCCTTCAGAAGGAGCTGCTGGGTGTGGCAGAAAGGTTGGAGTCAGCCAGTGACTTCCATAAACATATAAAGTTGGTTCCAGCTTAGCTTTCACTAAAAATGACTTGGGAATTTGCCCTCCTTTCCCAACAAGGACATCATGAGGACCACATGAAATCATTTTTTAAAGGAAGCATTGTGTATCATAAAGCCTTACACAAATATAGGTAAACAAAGAGTACGCAACCATTTGTCTCAACAGTTCCATGTTTTCTAAATACTATGAGACCTTTCACTTTTATTCTCTACTCCTCGCAGGTCTCCTTTAGCTGCAGACTGCACGATCTCCAGGGAGGTCTGTAGTAGTGTATCTAGTACAGGAGTAAGCATGAGTTTTCATTTCCTTATTTTTATCTATTTCATTTCTTTTTAATTCAGTATGGTTAAACTGGCCATTGTCTATTTTTTCATTCTCCACATAATTTCAAAGGAAACAAAAAAGTCTCAATTTTTGTGATTAGTCTTTATGTTCTTATAATATGTAGGTAGTAGGATATAAAATAAATAAAAGTAATTGTTTAAGATTTTATTTCTATTGCAAAGTCAGATATACAGAGAGGAAGATACTCTGTCTGATGATTCACTCCCCAAGTGACCACAACTGCCCATGCTGCATCAGTCTCAAGCCATGATCCAGGAGCTTTTCGGGTCTCCCACGCGGGTGCAGGGTCCCAAGGCTCTGGACCATCCTCAACTGCTTTCCCAGGCCACAAGCAGAGAGCTGGATGGGAAGTGGAGCTGCCGGGATTAGAACCAGTGCCCATATGGGATCCCAGGGCTTTCAAGACGAGGACTTTTAGCTGTTATGCCACCGCACCGGGCCCAAATTTCATTTTTTTAAAAGATTTATTTGTTTTTATTACAAAGTCAGATATATAAAGAGGACAGATAAAGAAGATCTTCTGCCCAATGATTCACTCCCCAAGTGAGCGCAATGACCGTTGCTGTTCCTCTGTCTCGCCTCCTTTTTGTATATCTGACTTTGCAATACAAAAGAATAATAAATAAAAAATAAAGCGCCCTTTTAAAAAATAATTACATTGCAGCCACCAAAGAAAAATTATTGTGATCCTTAAATTTTTGTTAGCATGTGACATGTTTAGAACTAAAAAACTACTATGAAAGCTATTTTCTTATACATGCCAAACTTTTTCTACATTTATTCTGCAAGTATCTTCAATGCTGTCAGGGATGCTTTTGTGTTTTATTTTCAACTGACAAATACTGATTGTATGTATTTATGGGCACAAACTGGCATTTCAGTGTGCATGTCCATATTGTTATGGTAATCAAGCCAATTTTTTTAAGCGGCCACAATGGCTGGAGCTGAGCCAGTGAAGCCAGGAGCTTCTTCCAGGTCTCCCACACAGGTGCAGCGTCCCAAGGCTTTGGGCGGTCCTGGACTGCTCTCACAGGGCGTAGGAAGGAGCTGGATGGGAAGTAGAGCCACTGGGATTAGAACTGCCCGTATGGGATTCTGATGCGTTCAAGGCAAGGCGAGGACTTTAACCACTACATTATCACGTCAGGGCCAGTGAAGATAAATTTTAAGGGCTGGAGTTGAGGTGCAGTGGGATAAGCCTTAGCCTACAATGACAGCATCTCATATGAGTGACTATTCAAGTCCTGATTGCTCCTCTTCTGATACAGCTCACTGCTAATGTGCCTAGGAAAGCTGGCAAAGGATGGCCTAAGTACTTGGGCCCCTGCACTCATGTGGGAGACCTGGAAGAAGCTCCTGGCTCCTAGCTTTGGCCTGGCCCAGCCCAGACCATTGCAGCCATTTAGGAAGTGAACCAGCAGGTGGAAAATTCTCTGTCTCTCCTCCTTTCTGTAACTCTTTCAAATAAATAAAATATAAATCTTTTTCTTCAAAAAACTTATTTATTAGAAGGAAATGCAGAGTTACACAGAGGAGAAGAAGCACAAAAATTCTCAATCTGCCAAATACATATCTTACAGGGGGAAAAAAACTTTGTACCAACTCCCCATCATTTCCCCTTACCCCTTTCTTCTATCCTGCCTGCTGCTTCTGAGAAGCACCGTTCTACTCTGTACTTCTGTGAGTTCATTTTAAATTCCACATCTGAGTGTAGGTGAAATCATATGGTGTTTGTCTCTTTCTGCCTGGGTTATTTCTCTAAACATAATATATGCTGGGATTTATACATTCGGTTTCAAATGGAAAAAATCCCAAACTGACACATACCTGCTCTTTACTATTATCACTTTCTATTTCTTAGTTTTGTAGGTATAGGGCTTCCTCCTTCTCTCTTCCCTACCAACCTCGCCGTTGTCCCCTGGATGGTACAATGACATGGTCCTTCAGCTGTAGTCTTGACTCGTTACGTGTGTCGTGACGCTGTAGGTGTAAGCAGTGGCAGGGAGTAGTATTTTGTTAGAGTACATTCAAGTTTTACCAGGCGCTTGCTTTGGTTTGGGAATAGACATGCATGCTGCCTTTCTTCTTGGGTTCCTGTACATACATGCTTTTTAAAGGGTGAACAGTGTTCTGTTGTTTTGCCTGCCACATTTGAGCAGTCTACTCATCGAGTGATGTCTGTTGCAGTTTGCTGAGCCTGTTTTTAGGTGAGGTACTGGGGTGCAGGCTTCTTAGCAGCATCCTGATGGCCTCCCCGCCATGCATGCTAGCAGTCGGAGTGCCAGGGCTGCAGCTGGGGTGCACTCAGACTTGTGCAAAATGAGCTTATCATGACAGCATGTACCTGAAATGCTTTTATTTTTTTAATCTAGTATGACGAATTAGTTCCTGCCTCTCTAACAACAAAATATGGAGGCTTTTATATCAATACTGGCACTCTTCAGTTTCGCCAAGCTTCAGATACTGAAGAAGAAGAAATTACAGACAACCAAAAGCACAAACCACCCAAAGTGAGTTCATGTGACATTGCAATAATGATGACAACATTCTGTTGATAAGCTGTATTTTGTGAATGTTATTTGTGCCAAAATGTGAATGTATGAAAAATAAAATATAAGCTGTTGTTTAAATAATCTGTAATTATATACTCTTGAATTCAGTTAATATTGAAAATTGATATATTGTGGTAGAATTAGTTCTTTTAAAATTCTTTCTACATATATGGTGAATAATCTAGGTTTCTAGAATAGATTGCTTTAGAAAAGATTGTTAATAGCTATTACCTTCCCTGAGTTATGGGTTTTTTTTTAATAGATTTTGTAAAATTTATATGTATTTTAAAAGTTATTAGTATCTTTAGGTAAGTGTTTCTTGCAGTGTGATTCAAAGACTGAAATGCTAACATAAACACTATAGCATCACTATGTAAATAAATAATACATTCTTTTTCATAATTTTACAGGTTCCCAAAGTAAAAGAAGATGATGTTGAAATGAAGAAGCGCAAGCGGAAAGAGGAAGGGGAGAAGGAGAAGAAGCCAAGGAAAAAAGTACCCAAGCAACTGGGGTATGTTTAACTAAGCCTGCTAGGGGGCCTTGTCTCAGTCCATCTGTCCATTGAAAAGTTTAGCTCAACTGGACCTAAGTGAGTAAAGCATTAACAGATATTAATGGTCCACTAATTTAGTATTATAGTATTTATTAAGGAGTAAAGTCTTTCTCATCTTGGAGACTGAGTTTTTCCCAAGAAGAATTAATGTGAGGGCCCGGCGTGATAGCTAAAGTCCTCACCTTGAACGTGCCGGAATCCCATATGGGCTCCAGTTCTAATCCTGGCTGCTCCGCTTCCCATTCAGTTCCCTGCTTGTGGCCTGGTAGGACAGTCGAGGACAGCCCAAAGACTTGGGACCCTGCATCCATGTGGGAGACTGAAGGAAGCTCCTGGCTCCTGATTTCAGATTGGCCCAGCTCCAGCCATTGCAGCCGCTTGGGGAGTGAACCATTGTATGGAGGATCATCCTTTCTGTCTCTCCTCCTCTGTGTATATCTCCCTTTCCAACAAAAGTAAAATAAATCATAAAAAAAAGATTAATGTGAAAAGATGTTATAAATATCAAACATACCTTTTTAATCTCTTAGAACTAAGATGCTTGGGGATTGAAAAGTGTCAGTAGCCTATGTGTAAACAATTTTTATTTTATTTAGCTGTTAATGCTTATAACTTTAATGATAATTGCCACTAACAACTAAGCAGACTTTCTCAAAAGCCTTAAACTGTAAAAATAATATGTCAGAAATTCCTAATTGCCCCTGCTTTGTAAGATACACTTGGAAAAGGCAGTGTTTTCCTCCTGTCCTTGGTAGTGGAGGTACGCATCTGAATTTTGAGCTATCGTAGTGAAGAAGTTGATGTAAGGCAGGTGTTTTGCCCTCCAAAATGCAGCATTATACACTGTAAGAAATTTTTTCTTGACGTGTTTTTTTGTTTTATCTTGTTTTTGTTTTTTTAAGATTTGTTTATTTGTATTGCCAAGTCAGTAATATAGAGAGAGGAGAGACAGAGAGGAAGATCTTCCATTCACTTATTCCTGCCCCAAGTGACTGCAACGGCCAGAGCTGTGCCAATCTGAAGCCAGGAGCTCTTTCGGATCTCCCACATGGGTGCAGGGACCCAAGGCTTTGGGTAATCCTGGACTGCTTTCATAAGCCACAAGCAGTGAGCTGGATGGGAAGCAGGCCTGCCTGAACAGGAACTGGTGCCCATGCACTTGGGCTGTCTTCTCCTGCTTTACCAAGGATGAGGATGGGAAGTGGAGCACATAGGAACTGGAAATGTTGCAAACAGCAGCTCAACTTACTGTACCACAGCACTGAGGCTTGGATACCTTTGATAAAATATAATTTCGTAAGAAATCAAGGAAAGTGCTTGTTCTGCCACCTAGTAAGTTTGTTATTGGTGGGTTTTCTTTTTTTTTTTTTTTTTTTTTTTGGTTTTGTGCCTATTTGTTGACATGGGGCTTTAGCCCTTAAATTGCAGCCTATCTGATCAGTTTTTTTCTTACAGAGTTGTGGCTCTGAATTCTCACAAATCTGAAAAGAAGAAGAAACGTTACAAAGATTCTCTTTCTCTTGCTGCCATGATACGGAAATTTCAGAAAGAGAAGGATGCATTAAAGGAGTCGAACTCCAAAGCCCCCTTGACCTTACCGACCTCCTCTCTGCAGAAACCGCCCTGTGCCCCAGCAGCCCTGGGCAACGATGTCCAGGATTTACATCTGAGCAGTGCAGACCCAGACCTCCCCATTTTTGTTAGCACAAATGAACATGAGCTGTTTCAGGAAGCTGAAAATGCCCTGGAGATGCTAGATGATTTTGACTTTGACCGATTACTGGATGCTGCTTCTGATGGTAGCCCGCTATCTGAGTCAGGGGGAGAAAATGGGACCACCACCCAGCCAGGCTACACCTCTCAGATGATGCCCAAGGCGGTACCCACACTCCCGGAGGGTCTACCTGTCCTGCTTGAAAAACGCATTGAAGACCTCCGAGTAGTAAGTGTCATAATTCACTTCATTTTTGTTTATTGCATAGATATAACAACATGCTGTTGTTTCTTAAAACACAAGTGTAAAAATCCTTGATTTGGCACCCTTATAACAACTACCTTGCATTTTCCATGCTTCTTTTTAGGCATTGGCTGTATGCATGTTTCCAAATAGAAATAACTATGGCCGCAACAAGGATACCGTTGATTGTTTCATTATTTCAGTTCACACTTTTTCCCACACAGGCTTCATAAATATGTTTTTATTATCTACATAGTCACGTAAAGGAAATACAGCAATGAGGACCAGTGCTGCGGCACAACAGGCTAATCTGCTGTTTGTGATGCAGGAGTCTGAGTCCTGGCTGATGTGCTTCCCAGGCAAACCCTGCTAATGTGCCTGGAAGGTGTCAGATGGCCCAGGGCTTGCACTGCTGCCAACCAATCCAGAGACTGAATGGAGATCCTGGTTGCTGGATTCTACTTGGCCCATCCTAGATGTTGTGGCCGTTTGGGGAGTTAACAAACTCTCTGTTTATCCTTCTGTCATCAGACTCTTTACATATGTAATTCTAAGTAAAAGAAGAAGAAAAAGAAATAGAGAAAATGAAGGAATAATGACACTGGAGAAATCGACCTGAAGTTGGTCCAGTCTGTAATGATGTCTAATTATTTCAGTTTTTTTTTTTTTTTAAGATTTTTCTTTCATTGGAAAGTCAGATATACAAAGAGGAGACGAAACAGAGAAGATCTTCTGTCTGTTGATTCACTCACCAAGTGGCTGCAATGGCTGGAGCTGAGCTGATCCGAAGCCAGGAGCCCAGAGCCTCTTCCAGGTCTTCCACTCAGGTGCAGGTCCCAAGACTTTGGGCCGTCCTCAACTGCTTTTGTAGTCCACAAGCAGAGAACCTGGATGGAAAATGAAGCAACTAGGACCCAAACTGGAGCCCATATGGGATCCCAGCACGTGCAAAGCATGGACTTTAGCCACTAGGCTGTTGTGCTCGGCCCCTCTAGTTATTTTAAAAGTCTACTTTTGGAGCTGGCACTGTGGTGTGGCATCATCTGTGTATTCAGGAGCATAATATGATTGCCAGCCTGTCAAATACAAGGAGCATGGTCGCTGGCAAGTGATTGTCACTGAGGTACAGTTAGGGGTTCTTCAGTGAACCTCCTGAGAGCTGGATATGGACATCATCAAAGTGCCTCTGCTTTTTTAGCAGAAGACTCAACAAGAGAAGCTCTAATTCAGAAAAAGAGGCTTTTCTCTCCCACACAGAAGTCATTATCACCAGTGGGTGAGGATTGGATGCAATATGAGGCTCTGGAAGTAGTGGGATTGTTGGCAGAATGTAAGAGAATCCCTGAGACCACATGGGGCGGGGGGCTGCTGTTGTGGGGCAAGGGATCAAATCAACCCCTATGATGCTGGCATCCTCTGTTGGCTACAAGAGCACCTGTTTGCGTCTGAGCTGCTCTGCTTCTGAGGTAGCTCCTTGCTAATGCAGCTGGGAAAACAGTGGAGATGGCCCAAGCCTCTGCCACCCCATAGGAGACTAGGATTGTTCTGGCTTGGCCTGGCCCAGTTCCTGTCCATGGCAGCCATTTGGGGAATGAACTGGCTGGTGGGAGAGCTCTTTTGCCTCTGTCTCTCCTTCTCTTTCTGACATTTCAGAAAATTGGGAGATAAGGAAATTGGGGGTGGCCCAATTTCTTCCTAGTTATGAACAAAGTGAATCCTTTGATCAAGTTAAAATTCTTTATGCGAGCTAAAAGTCTTTACAGATACTGACATCTGAGGGATGAGTCTAATATCACTTAAACCTGGACACAAAGGTGCACCCTTTCTCTCCTCTCTAACTCTGCCTTTCAATACAAAATAAATAAGTAAGTTAAATTAAAAATGCAGTGTATGTGAGATTATCAGATGGTTGTAGAGAAGGTTTGTAGAAGGGAGGCATCTACTTTGGGTTTTCTTGGAGGTCTAGGAATACTAAGCAGGGGTGGCCATTTGGGCCAGCAGTTGTCGCTGCTTGTGACGCATCAGAGTGCCAGGTTTGAGTCCTCCTTCCTCTGCTTCCAATCCAGCCTGCTGCTAATGAGCACCTGGGGGGCAGCAGACAATGATTTGAAAGCCCGTGTCCCTGCTTCCCAGAGGAGACCTTTCTGTATTTCCTGGCTTCTGGCTTCAGCCTGATGTAGCCCGGGCTTTTGTATGCTTCTGATGAGTGAATCGTCAGTTAGGAGATCTTTTCTCTAACTTTCAGACAAAATGAAAATAATTAAGAAAATGAATTAATAAATCTATAAATAGACAAATACATAAAATACCAAAAGCTCCAAAATGTGTTCAATGTGTAATTTTTTAATTTGGAGCTTGGCACAATGGCTCAATTGGCTAATCTTCCCCCTGCAAATGCCAGAGTCTTATATAAGCTCTTGTTCATGTCCCCACTGCTCCATTTCCCATTCAGCTGCTTGCTTCCCGCTTGGCAGCAAAAGATGTCCCAGAACCTTGGGACCTTATGCTCACATGGGGGACGAGGAAGAGCTTCTGGCTTCTGGATTGAGATTGACTCAGCTTCAGCTGTTAAGGCCATTTGAAGAGTGACCTAACAAATGGAAGATCTTTCTGATTTAAAATAAATAAATAAAGTCTTTTAAAATCATTTTGTGAATTTAGAAAGATGGAGAAGCAGTCTGGGTGTTTGGTAGTGGTTCATGTGCCAGCACTACACAGCACATTCTGTGTCAGAGTCCCTGGATGTGGTTCCTGACTGCATCTCCAGCTCATCTGTTCCTGGGCAGTGTACTGGGCCCTTTCACACCTTGATTTCGGTAAAATGAGGCTGACTTTTGGAATTTAGACTGAGAAAAAATTGTGTTTTAAGATACCAGCTTTCATTACGGCAGTTGGAAGATATTTACACACTATTTGGTTAAGTTTGAATCAGCCTGTCCTTGCCTGCCCGTTGATCACAGCTCACGTGCTAGTCTTGATGAGTTCTGTCTCTCATGAGGTAGTGCATCTCAGGGTGATTGTTAGCATGGGAGATATTGATGCTGTCTTTTATGTCTCTCCAGGCTGCCAAACTTTTTGATGAAGAAGGAAGGAAAAAATTCTTTACACAAGATATGAATAATATTCTTCTTGAGTAAGTAACTTACTTTCTTCTTCTTTATTAAGCCTGAAGAATTGCTCCGTTGTATGTATAGTAGACCTCTGAGGTACAGACACTCAGTAGGTGAGTGGTCTAAAGCGTTAGCTTTTCCCTTTCAGCCTCATAGCATATATGACAAACACTTGTTTCTCAACCCAGTTATGCTTCTGTATTTATTGGTTCTCCAAGACCACTTAGAGTTACCAATATTTTTGTAACAGCAAGAGCAAATGACCCACACTGCTGATTGGATTTAAATGTATTGTGTATCACCTTAAATGAAAAAAAATCTTTCTGACAATGCTTAGATTATGTATGTAGACTCAGTGTAACCTTCCTTCCATAGCTCTGTAGGAGCTGATATCTAGTGAGGTTAATTGTAAGTCGTACAGAATTTTGTAGGAAAGTTTCCTGAAAAATGTGAACTCATAATGAAATCATGGTTGCAGGGTTGGATGGAGAAACTATAGAGTAGACAGGATATATTAAAAAGGGAAAGGCTGGTATATGATATGGATCAGAATTTTTGTAAAAAGCTGATTTTTATTTGAAAGGCTAACTTAAGCAGAGAAAAGGAAAGGCGGAGAAACAGAAAAAGATTTTTCTATCTGCTGGTTGACTCCCCAAATGGCCACAACAGCCAGGGCTGAGCAGAGCCAAAGCCAGGTGCCAACAGTTTCTTCTGAATGTCCCTTGTTGTTGCAGGCTCCCAAAGCCTTGGGCCATCCTACCCTGTTTTCCCAGGCCATAGGCAGGGAAGCAGATCAGAAGTGGAGCAGCTGGGACAGAAACTGGTCTCTATATGGGATACTTACGCTGCAGGCTGAGGCCTAACGTACTGCATCACAGCTCCTATAGAATGTATTTGAATTAGCACCTTTTATGTTTTCACTCAGTTTGATGCTGATGAAACTGTACATTTTAGTATTGTGGTCAAATAAGCTGTACTGTGCTTGCAAATCCTTTGCCTCATAGATTTTAACTATTAGTTAGAAATTGTGTATAAAACTGCATATAGTAATGGGCCCGGCGCGGTGGCGCAGTGGTTAAAGGTCCTCGCCTTGCACGCCCAGGATCCCATATGGGCGCCAGTTCTATCCCGGCAGCCCCGCTTCCCATCCAGCTCCCTGCCTGTGGCCCGGGAAAGCAGTCAAGGATGGCCCAAAGCTTTGGGACCCTGCACCCGCGTGGGAGACCCGGAAGAGGCTCCTGGCTTCGGATCGACATAGTATCGGCTGTTGCACTCACTTGGGGAGTGAATCATTGGACGGAAGATCTTCCTCTCTGTCTCTCCTCTCTGTATATCTGCCTTTCCAATAAAAAAATAATAAAAAAAAAATAAATAAATCTTTAAAAAACTGCATATAGTAGTGAGAAAAAGTTGGATCACTGGGAAAGCAATGTCTTGCTTCTGATTAAAATAATGCATACCTACTTTTTATGATGGAATAGTGCCATAGGAGAACACAGAGTAGGTGTTTGGTATGCTAGTTAAGATGCCATTTGTGATGCTCATGTTCTGTATCTGTCTGGACCCGACTTCTCACTCCTGTGTGCTGTGACCGCTGTAGCTGATGGCCCAGGTTTTCAGGTTCCTGCTACCCCCGCTGCATTTCTTCTAATTTATTTTTTAATATTGTTTACATAGTTTGGTAGGGATGCATGCCCATGTGGGCCTCTGATTAAGGTGGTCAGGATTCAGGTATGGAAGAAGGTGGGTGGGACAATGCTTCAATTTTTTTTTTGCCTCCTGTATCCAAAGGCAGGGAAGAGGAAAGGGCTGGTCATTTTTTGCTATCAAACTACCTCAACCACCCAAGGATGGGTGACAGTCATTTGATGACACATTATGACACATTAGAGACCCTAATGTAGGGAAGAGTGTTTGAAGGTATGACTTGAGAGGTTTTGATAGTTCTGTTATGGTAGTTCATTAGCTTTGTTACACCACAGTTGAAAAAATCAAAGGTCTGTTGACCAACCAAGTCCACCTTAGAGCATCCACAGACCCAGACATTCACTGCAAAGCTTGGCCAGGAGACTTGTCCACCTATCCGCTTTACATCCTTGGACGAGTTACTCGATGTCCTCTGCTAACCTAGATGAGCTGGCCATCATGGCCCTGGTGTGCATATAGGCATGCTGTCTACTGCAGAGGCATCAGCAGCTGAGGAGGCCCAGTCCTAACCACGCACTCCAAGGTCAGACCACAGATCTTGTGATTTTCCCTAAGTTACATTCTGAGTACCTCATTTTGCTCTGGCACAGCTGCCATTGTTGCAGACATTTGGATGATTCCCCCAGATGATTTCTGTCTTTCAGCCTTTCAACTCAAATGAGGAGAAAAAAATGAACAACACAGGGAGCTGTGTTCCTTTGTTAGTCCTTTTGTCTTTTCTAATATATTTAAGAATCTGAGAGATAGACAATCCCATTAGTTGGTTCACTGTCTAAATTCCTATAAGAACCAGAGGACCAAAGCCACAAGCCAGGAAGGTGTTCTTGGGTAGCAAGAAGTTTGCTACTTAAGCCATTACAGTTGGTTCCAAGGTTCCACATTAGTAGAAAGCTGGAGTCAGCGATCAGAGCTAGTAATCCAACCCAGTCAGTCCAAAATAGCATGGGAATATTTTTTATAATCAGTATCTTAACTAATAGGCTAAACACCCACTCTAACTCCTGCCTTTGAAATACGTAATGGAGATAGTTTCTCATGAGAATCAAAGAACTGATTTATAACTTGGGATGATTATTGTGATTGCAAGCTCTAAGTTCCTGGAGAATTAAGATTGGACTCTAAATGCTGGTGTGCTGCTAGTGTAGTGGCAGAAGAATGTCTTGTTTCTGTTCCTTATTTTACCAAGAATTTTCAGGTTGAGTCTTCTTGCGTTTCTGGAAGCCGTGTAAATGTCTGTGCTGCGGCCTTTTACTGAGTCCCTTTGTAACTCCAGACTTAATCACTGGTATAGCTGTTATTCATCCAGGCTGTCCCAGATCCCGTCATCAGGAAACTGGCTAGCTCTTCTTTCTCTTTCCAACAGCGAGCCCTAAATTCACCAGAATAGATCCCTCTCCTGACTGAGACTGTTCTCTTTTACGTTGCTCTTGTGTAAGAGAGGATTGCTTGTCTCCTGGGAAAATCAAAAGAGACTTGTTGAAGCGTGGCATCTCAAGTAAACAAAATGTCAACATTGCATCAGTTGGTTCTCTGTTCATTTCCCCTGTGTTTACCTTAAATTAAATCTTAATGCTTTTTGATCCTCATCTACATTTTGTTTCACAAAAGGTATGCCATGAGCTGCAAATGCTATAGTGTGCAGAGCTGGATTTTTTTCCCTTTTAATTGTTTTTGTATTCCCCTGGGTCTCTTTCATAGACAAGAGTGTCTTATTTTTCTGAATATGCTTTTCCAAGGGCATATGGTGATGATTACTTAGAAAAATAATTCCTGTTGCATTATCCAGGTATATTGGTTGTGCTTTGCCTTTGCTTCTTTATGTTGGCAAGAAAGATCGATCTGTTGGAATAGGGAACCCTTTATCTTTTGCCTAATTGAATATTACCTGGGTAAACAAATGCACATGCTGACTTGATTTGCTTGCCTTTTACCAGAAGCAGACATTGCTAATAAATGGTAATGCTTTTTGTCTAAGATCTCAGTTCAGCTTGACAGCTCTCTCCAGATTGCTCTAAGCGAACACCACCAATCCTGCCAGGCAGTGGCGGTGAGACCTGTCTGCCTCTCTGTTAAATACTCCGTTAAAGAACTCGTGAATGACAGTGATGAGGAACTCAGTAGTAAGGGGCGTGACCATTGATTTCTCTGTACTGAATCAGCTCTTCCTGTGTCCTCTTAGCCTCTTGGAAACCACTGACTTTTATAAGTAGGTTATCGACTCTGTTTTTTCAGTGCATGGAATTTCTGTTTTATTTTCTGGCTAAACTTTCAACAACTTGGCATTCCTAGAAGGCCTCCTACCCAGAGTCTAGATTTTTAATAAAAATCTGGCACAATGTTTTTAAATCAAGTGTGTATACACAAAATCTGTGTCCCATAGTTTCCCATATGAGTCATTGCTTTCAATCTTTGGTTCTTGCTGCACAACATAAACTTACCTTTGTTTTGTTTTAATAGATTTGTTTGTTTATTTTAAAGGCAGAGTTACACAGAAAGAGAAGGAAAGACAGAGAGACTTCCCATCCTCTGATTCCCTCTCCAAATGGCTGAAATGACCAGGACTAGGCCAGACCAAAACCAAGAGGCAGAAGCTAGGGTGTCAGGGCCAGGAGACCTGCACTATATCTGCTGATTCCCAAGCACATCCACAGGGAGCTGGATTACAAGTGGAGCAACCTGGACTTGAACAGCTGCCCATATAGGATGTTGACGCTGCAGGCTGTGTCTTCGTCCACTTGCCACAATCCTCGCTCCATGCCATTTAAAAGTGAATAAATAAATGTGTATGTATGCATTTGAAGAGAAGTTAACAAAGAGAAGGAGAGACAGAGAGATCCACCAACCCCTGATTTACTTCACAAATGACTCAAATGGCTAGGTCTGAGATATGCTGAAGTCAGGTGTTTCTTGTGTCTTCCATGTAGGTAGAAGGCCCATAGGTCTTCTGCTGCTTTATTCTGCTGTTTTACCAGTCACTTCAGCAGGGAGCTGGATTGGATGTAGAACATCTGGGTTCAGTGTGCCCTTAAGAGGTGCTGGTGTGGCAGATGGTGGCTTAACCCATTGAACCACTGTAGGAGCTCTTCTGCTGTTTTCATGTCATCTAGATTTAAAAAAAAAAAAAAAACCTTTACTTCAGATTTATTTATTTTTATTGGAAAGTCAGATTTACAGAAAGAAGAAGAGACGGAAAGATCTTCCATCTTCTGGTTCACTTCCCAAGTGACCACAACTTCCGGAGCTGAGCTGATCTGAAGCCAGGAGTCAGCAGCTTCTTTCAGGGCCCTGTAGTTTAGATTTTTAACAAAAATCTAACAATACAATGTTTTGTAATGAAATGTGTATACACAAAATTTGTGACCCATAGTAGATGTATTTTAAGTTAATTTTTTAAAAGATTCATTTATTGGGGCTGGTGCAGTAGTGTAGTAGCTACAGTCCTCACCTTAAATGCATCAGAATCCCTTATGGGTGCCCGTTCATGTCCTGGCTACTCCACTTTCCATTCAGCTCCCTGCTTGTGGCCTGGGAAAGCAGTAGAGGATCGCCCAAAGCCTTGGGACCCTGCACCCACATGGGAGACTCAGAAGAAGCTGCTGGCTCCTGGCTTTGGATCAGCTCAGCTCTGGCCATTGCGGCCACTTGGGGAGTGAACCAGCAGATAGACAGTCTTTCTCTCTGTCTCTTCCTTCTCTATATAAATCTGATTTTGTAATAAAAATGAATTAAACTTAAACAGTTAATTTATTTTTAGCTGAAAGAATTACAGAGAAGAAGGGAGAGAAAGGTCTTGTATATGCTGGTTCATTTCCCAGTGGCCACAACAGCCAGAGCTGAGCTGATCCAAAGCCAGATGCTGGGAGATTCTACAACTCCTGCATGAAAGCAGGGACGTTAAGACTTGAGCCATCCTCTGATGCTTTCCCTGACTGACCGTAAGTAGGAAGCTGAATCAGAAGTAGAGCTGCTGTGACTTAGACTGGTACTTATATGGGATGTCAGCACAGCAAAGGATTGCCTTGCTATGCCGCCAGGTCCCAGAAAATAAACTTCTGAGATTGTCTGTACTTGCTACAGTAAAATGTAATTTTTAAGCAGTTTATACTCATGGGCTCCAGTTTGGACTTGGCTTTCCAGTCAACATTTGTTCTCAACTTTATATGGTGGTAGCTATCGGTGTAATCTCTTCCACTTTGGGATAGTCCCCTCAATTAGTTATTAGTTAGCAGAATATTACACTTGTATTGGCTACTGAAGGACTATACTGTCGTGATAAGAAGGGGGACCATGGTGGGAAGGGACAATAAGGAGGGAGAAAAGGGAGACGAGGAAGGAATTCCTATATGTACAAGGCTATCATGGAAAAGTGTAATAACAGAAAAGTCAAGAAAAACTAATAGATTTATCTTATAAAACACAATAGCTCACTTGGCTGATCCTCCCCTTTCAAGCACCAATATTCCATGTGGGCGGTGTACAGGTTCTGCCTTCTGCACTTCCCATCCAGCTCCCTGCTTGTGGATTAGGAAAGCAGTAGAGGATGGCCCAAAGCCTTGGGACCCTGCACGCATGTGGGAGCCCAGAAGAAACTTCTGGTTCCTAGCTTCAGATCAATTTAGCTCTAACCATTGTGATCATGTGGGCAGTGAACCAGCAAACGGAAGACCTTCTCTGTCTATTCCTTCTTGCTTTAAAATCTGGTTTTGAAATAAAAGTAAATAAATTTCAAAAACAGTAGTATAGGAAATATCCACTGGGCTGGAGCTGTGGCATTGTAAGCTTCTACCTAAGGCATCGGCATCCTCTAGACACTGGTTCAGGTCCTGGCTGCTTCACTTATGATTCAGCTCCCTGCAGATATGCCTGGGAAAATAGCAGAGGAAGGCCCAAATCCTTGGGACCCTGCACATACATGGGAGACCTCGAAGAAGTTCTTGGCTCCAGCCATTGTGGAGCCATTTGGGGAGTGAACCAGTGGATGGAAAATCTTTCTTTCTGTCTCTGTTTCTCTCCATAAATCTGCCTTTCCAATAAAACTAAATAATTTTTAAGAAAAGAGTATATTGGATATTAAAAACTTCTAGAGATGATAGTTCAATTAAATATACATTTAACAACTTGTTCTCTCTCTCAAAAACATTTTTTAAGTAGAAATTGGAACTAGAGAATTAGAATAAATTAATAAACCATTAAAGTATATAGCTTGTGCAATGCAGACACAAAAAATAAATCGGTTAAACTGGTGTATATGTATGCCAGAATGGCACTTGCTCTCTGTTCTGAATCTACGTTTTCACTCATCTGTAAGTAAAAAATACTTCAGCAACTCAGTGAAATTTTGTGACTCTAATTTCTTGTTTTAGGAGATATAAAGATAAAATATCTTTTTGGTTGAATGAGATTCTGATTAATAACTGAGTTATGCCTAACTCAAAAAAATATAGACTTTGTTTTTGTCATACACACAAACTTTTTCGGATTGTTTGTAGCTGTATAAATTCTGTTCTTAGGAAGTTTTACAGAATGTTTTGGGTTAAGATTTTTCTGTGAAGAATACTGTCTGGGTTAGCATAGGAAGATAAAATGTGAACAAAAATGAATTGCGTTTCCCTTCTTTGCCTATGTGATTACACCTCTAAAAATTCTGTTTTTTTTTTTTTTTTCTAGCATTGAATTACAGCTACAAGAACTAGGTCCTGTCATTCGTAGTGGTGTCTACTCCCATCTTGAAGCTTTTGTGCCATGCAATAAGGAAACACTGGTAAAACGACTGAAGAAATTGCATCTTAATGTCCAGGTAAGAGGATAATCAATAATACTTGGGGTTTATAACCTTTAAATACAGACTTGTTTCTAGCATATTAATTGCTTCATAAATCTGTTCTGTGTATTTCATAACTGTTGGCGATTATTAAAGGCATTGTTGGCATGTTGGGTTCCTGGAAAAAAAAATCTGCTTCTTCGACAATTGTTAGACTTAGATAATAAATAATGTTTTCTATAACATAGATTCCTGGAGTTAGAAATGTATGCTAGGTGTGATCTATCAAGCTTAGAATTCTTTACATAAGCATTCGTTCATAAAAATATTTGTTTTGAATTGAGGAAACTAGCTGTTTATTAGTATTTAAGAGATGGAAAGAATAGATTCCTGAAATGCCTCAACAGAGCCTGGCTGAAACTCAGCACTACTCGGTCTGCCCGCATCCCGTGCTGGAATGCTGATTCGAGTTCCAGATGCTCTGTTCTTGTGCTACAGGTATCTCCAGTGTGCCTGGAAGGCAGCACATGGTGACACATGTTCTTGTGCCCCTGCTGCCACTAAGAAGTCCTGGATGGAGTTCCTGGCTCTTGGCTTTGGCCTGGCCCAGACCTGGCTATTGCAGCTATCCGGATAATAAACCAGCAAATGAAGATCTATCTTTCCCTGTCTCATCATGACTTTCAAATAAATAAATCTTTAAAAAAAAATGACAATAGGGTCCGGCGGCTTGGCCTACAAGCTAAAAGTCCTCACCTTGAGTGCACTGGGATCCCACATGGGTGCTGGTTCTAATCCTGGTAGCTCCACTTCTCATCCAGCTCCCTACTTGTGGCCTGGGAAAGCAGTTGAGGACAGCCCAAAGCCTTGGGACCCTGCACCTGCGTGGCAGCCCTGGAGGAGGCTCCAGGTTCCTGGCTTTGGATCAGTACAGCACCAGCCGTTGTGGTCACTTGGGAGTGAATTAGCGGACGGAGGATCTTCCTCTCTGTCTCTCCCCCTCTCTGTATACCTGCCTTTCCAATAAAAATAAAGTAGATCTTTAAAAATATAAAATAAAAATAATGAGAACAAAGTAGTTTTAGTGAAGAAATGCAAAATCATAAAACATTTTTGTTCCTAAGACAATGATTGCAACATATTTTAAATCATTTTGTATGCATTGTTTTTAAGGTGAAAAAAATAAATTAGTTGATTAAGAGTGTCAGATACAATTCTGATTTGCTCTGCTCTGAACCCACAGGGGTAAGGATCTCACCTTTGCTCTTTCAGCCTGGCCATGTTCTTACATTTTTGCTTACAGCACAGGTCATAATTGCTAGCAGTAGCTGAGAGAACAAGATGACATTTTGTTGATAGTCATGCAGACCAGATCACAGAAAGCGGTGTTCAAAAGCAGTGTATTCTTAGAGTTCTTGCTCTATTATGATGGGATTAACCAATGGTGGTCCGCACAATGTGGATTTTCTTCTCTACTCAGTCATTTCTAATAGAGTAAAAACATTCTTCTTGTGTATTGATCAAACATAGGACATTTTTAAGAATGGGAGAACAGGGCCCAGCGCAATGGCACAGTGGTTAAGGTCCTTACCTTGCACGCCAGGGATCCCATATGGGCGCCGGTTCTAATCCCTGCAGCCCTGCTTCCCATCCAGCTCTCTGCCTGTGGCCCAGGAAAGCAGTCGAGGACGGCCCAAAGCTTTGGGACCCTGCACCCTGTGGGAGACTTGGAAGAGGCTCCTGGCTTCGGATTGGCTCAGTTCCAGCCGTTTGCGGCCGCCTGGGGAATGAATCATTGGACGGAAGATCTTCCTCTCTGTCTCTCCTCTCTGTATATCCGTCTTTCCAATAAAAATAAAATAAATCTTTAAAAAAAAAAATGGGAGAACACTTAATATATGCTAGAGCAACAAGCAAAAATTGGGACTCATTAGCTAAGTGGGAATTGTCCCAATTTTATAAACATTGTGCCTTTGAAAAGTCAGTTGTTTGGTATGAAATGTTAACTGCTAACATTTCAAGACTGTAGTCGATATCTAAAACTTTTTTTTTGAGGATATGCTTAGATAAATTTTGTGAATGTGTTTGGTTAAACTTTTAATGTGTTTCCCCCCCACCCCCCAGGATGATCGTTTAAGAGAACCTCTCCAAAAACTGAAGCTGGCTGTTAGCAATGTCATGCCTGAACAACTGTTTAAATACCAGGAGGACTGCCAGGCTCGTAGTCAGGCTAAGTGTGCCAAGTATGTATCTCTTACATTTGGGATTGCCTTTTGCACTTAAGAAATGTTTTTAGCTGCTAGGGATTGATCTTTTAGCCTCAACTCGAAGTCCACATACACCTTTGCAATGAGATAATTGAATGTTTTCTAAATAACCCATCTTTTCCCATTCAGTGTTTTGGTGTCAGGCAATAGACATCTGTTGGTTTAATGTACAGATAAGATCAAAGCGAGAGCTGACACTGGCCAGCTTGGCTAGCTGGGGTTGGATGCAGATACCTTCTTTGGGTCATGTGTGTCACATTTATAGAATGTGGGTAGGTGGATTTCCTGCTTTGCTCGTCCTCTGAGTTAGTGACTGCATGGAGGGTTTGTGGAGCATATTCTAGGCAACGCTGGTTTAAAACTTTTTCTTCACTACATTTTTTTTCATTGTTAGGTTGCAAACAGATGAAGAACGAGAGAAAAATGGATCGGAGGACGATGATGATGAGAAACCAGGGAAACGTGTCATAGGACCAAGAAAGAAATTCCACTGGGATGACACCATTAGGTAAGATTTATGTAGTCTTAACTTTTGAACCAAGTATATAGTGTAGTAGAAAGATTTTTTAAGCTTCCACAGTAAATGGAAGAGTAGTTTGGAGTCAGCCAAAGATTAATGTCTAGGAAAAGCTTATTCAAGGACAGAGTAATTAATGTATGCTAATACTCCTGGAGATTCCACTTGTATTTTCATGGAACACCTTTTGTAAGTTTGCTTGCTGTTATTAGAGTAAGTCATAATGATTAAGACACCAGAGGTGCTCCAGCATTGTGGCACAGCAGGGTAGATCACTACCTGCAATACTGGTATCCCATGTTGGAGGACTGATTCAAGTCCTGGCTACTCTCTACTTCCAGTCCAGCTTCCTGCTGACGCATCTAGGAAGGCAACTGAAGCTGACACAAGAAATTGAGTCCCTGACACTCATGTGGGAAATCAAAATGTAGTTCTTGGCTCCTGGTTTTGGCCTGGCCCAGCCTTGGCTGTTGGCGCCTTTTAGGGGTATGAACCAGCAAATGGAAGATCTCTTGCTATTGTTCAAATAAATCTTAAAAAAAAAAAAAAAGAAAGAAAGAAAAAGAACATTTAAAAGGAAACTGCTTCATTTTGGGGGTTTAATGATGATAAAAATGAATCAAACATGTTAGATACTGCCTTTGTGCCATTTCTGAATCTTCAGATAATCTGTATTATTGCTGTGAGATTTTTGTGCTTTTAAGATCGAACTCAATTTGATTTTCTATAGTTTACAGTCAGATTTATATATACATTTTTTTTAAATCTGTTTAGAACTTTGTTATGTAACCTTGTTGAGATCAAATTGGGATGCTATGAGTTAGAGCCAAATAAAAGCCAGTCGGCTGAGGATTATCTTAAATCCTTCATGGAGACAGAGGTGAAGCCCTTGTGGCCTAAGGGCTGGATGCAGGCGAGGTAAGAAATGTGACTTACTAGATTTTATTTTACTTCCTTATATTGATGTTTTTAAAGATGCACCCCTATGCATATTCATATACGATAGCATTGATTCTGTTAAGAAAGTTATGTATTATAATACCCTAAATGGTTAATTTTAGATGATCTCTTGTCTAGAAAATTAAAGTACTTAAAAGTCAAAGCAATTAAAGTAGACAGAGTTATGTAAAGATAGGTGTGAAGATGAGGTTTTCATGAAAATGAATTTGTTAGAGAAAAAGGGAGGGGAAAAATTAAGAACTTTGGGAAGGGAGCTAAATATAGGAAATAGATGCAAGATTTAGAGCATGAGAGAAAGTAGTAGTTGTCGATTCTGTTGGAAATAATGTAGAAGAGTATCTCCAGAAACCCAGAGTAACTCTATTAAAACTAAGGAATGTAAAAATTAATAAAAATTGATTATCCTAACTCTTCATCTTAAAATGCTCCATCTTAAATCAACAAAAATGATCTATTGTTTTGTTAACATTTAAATAATAGAAAAGTTATTAAAATTTCTATAAAATAAGTTATTGATTATAGTATACCATTGTAATTTTTACTTGGTGCATAAGTAATGGCCTAATGAAAATCAGGTGATTAAAAAGATAGGTAATGTAATTGTCATGTCCTTATCTGCTATTCAAGGTAGTGAATGGTATCTTTTTGATTTTTCCAGAATGCTTTTTAAAGAAAGTCGGAGTGTGCATAATCATCTTACTTCTGCTCCGTGAGTAAACGGGGGCTCTAGAATTATTTATTTATTAAGTATTGTTGAAATAGGATTTAGGTGCACAGTTAGGCAACCTTCCCATCATTTTTTAAAACATAATTTTCCCTTGACTGTCTAAAGCTCAGAACAAATCTGCTGAAATACTTCTGACAGTTCTTTCTGGCAATCTTCCCAGCTCCCCAAGTGCTCCTTACTGCCTGTGTTTTAGGTGCCAGCCGTGGATGTGGTCCAGCCTCAGGGCTTTCCCTTTGCTCCTGGGACCCCTGTCCTACAGATTTTTTGCGTGTTATTTCTTTCTCTGCCTTTTAGTGACCACCTGCATGGGTAGCCAGCAGCCCTCTGCTGCCCTGAGCAGATTGTAAAGGTGTATTCCCTTCCCTGTCTTGTCCTGTACAGTGTCTTGCTCACGGTTAATCTATTCTTCATTTCCTTTCTTCTGTTCACAATCACATTTTTCTGAACAAAGGTAAGGAAAATCTCCTGCCTTGCTGACATACAAAATAAGGACAAGTTGCGTCTGAATCTTGACCAGCTCTCTAAGTTTTACTTTTTGTCTACAACTTGGATTATGAATATGATATTAAATTACATTATTAAAATGTTTAAGTAAAATTAGGAAGTTCTGAGAAGTCAGCATGTTAATTCAGTATTCTGCTAAAAACATTTCGTTAACCAAATCCTCTTTGCTAGCTTTTTTTCATAGCTTTATTGTTATGACTAACTCTTTCATTTTATACCAGAAAGTAGGGGTCCATGCAATAGGTGAGGCCTACAGGTCTTTTGTCCAAGTGGCTGTCATCAAAATAAGTAAATAAATAAATAAAAATAAAAAGAAGAAGAAAAAGAAAAAGAAAAAATTCGAAAAATTGCTGTTGCCTTAATGAAGTTACAGATAGACATTTAATCAGTTCATTTGATTTATGATATTTAACCTGTTGAGTTAGAAATGTCAAAAATGGAACACCTTGTCAATCTTTTAGTTATTCCACAGACATTTGACTATTTTCTCCTACTGTGGCACCCCTAAGACTTGACTTCAAACTTTTGCAGGCTAGTTCCAAAAGGTTCAAGGTTCCTTTTCTTGGCAGTTTGACATTTGACAGTTTTATTTTAATTTTTTAACATCCAGAAATGAATTTCTTTAAAAACCCTCTTTTTTGTTATTTTTGTTTTCACTATTTGTTTATTTTGAATTCAAGAGTTAATAGAGAGGGAACAAGATCTTCCATCCGCTGGATCAGTCACCAGATGGCTGTAGGAAAGTCCAGTGCTGGGCCAGGCCGAAGCCAGGAGCTTTACCCAAGTTTCCGTTGTGGGTAGAAGGGACCGAAACACTTGGACTTGATGCATTGGCAGGGATCTGGATCAGAAGTGGAGCATCCAGGAGTCCAGTCAACACATGTATAGGTGCTGGTGTTGCAGGCAGCAACTATACCCGCTATGCCACGATACCAGTGCTATTGTTGTTAAGTAAAATCTGATTCATAGCTTCTTGGCACTTTTAAATTTGAGCTTGAAGTTCCTTGAAGCTGTGTTTTTCTACAAATAATTGTAAATTCCTGCCAGTTTTTGAAGTGAATTTATTTAGGCAGTTTTGTTGCCCTGTTTTGGTTTACTTTATATTTTATGTATTAACATTTAATTTTTGGAAAAACTTTTGCCATTTACATTTCAGATTTACTAATTGTTTGTCCTTTCTTCCAGTAATCTGAATTGGGAAAAACTTTGCTGTGTATTCACATGTAAACTGTGTATTTATATATGATTCCTCTCATCTAAGAGCTTTCCAAATAATACAAGATACTACTTTCCCACATAATTACAAATTTATGTGTTTTAATTTCCTAATGAGTGTTATAACTGCTTCTTTTTAATTGTTTATCTCAGGGCAAAGAAAAAGGTGATGCCTGCACCTAAACCCAAAGTAAAGGTAAGTATTAAAACACATCATTTATTGGTTATACCCAGTGATTGGTTGAGTTCATTTGTGATGAAAAGGATCTAAGCTATTTATCACCAATTAGTGGCTACCGTATTGTAAGATGAGTGCTTCCTGCTTTGTAAAAATCCTCAAACCTTTGTATTTGAGAGAAAAGATAGGTGAGTATCACTGGAAAATTTGTATGTATTAATTAAAACGTAAGGTTTAATTCTACCTGAGAATGTTGGCTAAGAGACAGAAATCTTCTTTGAAAGCATTGTTGAGAGTATTAATATTTAGGAGGTCCTGGAAAATTCATGAAATATGGAATCAGAAGGGAATGCTAATATTCCCTGAGCTCTCTGAGGCTGTCCCTCTACATGAGACGCCATGAGCCAACAGTGAAGCCCTGCCAGAGAGATTCACTGCCTGAGCTTGGACTGCCCTTGCTGGCATTTGCTGACTCCAGCCATCACTTCATTCTTTCTTTTATAATTTCTTCTCAGACGAGGCAGTTTTCTTAGGCTTGTGTAGGTCAGAAATTGGAAAGAAGCCATTAAATTGGAAAGAAGCCCTCAAAGGAGAACAACTTAGGAAAAGAAAAGACTAGGGAAAAAAAAACCTACCAACCAGCAAAGCAACTAAAAAATTTCCTATTTTAGTTTGAGAAAAGAAAGTCTTCCCTGGAAATTGTTCCTAGCTTAAGAGTTTAATAAATGCTACTTCCATAATTTGAGAAAATTGCATCCAAGATAAGATAATAACCCGAAGTTAGTGTGTTGATTATAATGCAAAGGAACTGGCAAAAACAAATTTTATCAAGTCTAATGTGTATTCGTCACAGGCATCAAGAATTTGCTCACAAGGCTGGCACTGTGATTTAGTGAGTTAAGCCACTGCCTGTAGCACCAGCATCCCGTATGGATGCTGGTTCAAGACCTGGCTGCTCACTTCCAACCAGCTCCCTGTTAATGCACCTGGGAAAACAGCAGAAAATGATTCAAGGGTCTGGGCACCTACACTCTTTTTTTTTTTTTCTTCCTTTTTTTTATTATATTTTTGACAATCTTTACCTAGTTAATTAGAGTAAAAAGGTTCAAGGGCTACAGGAAAGTGGGTAAGATTATTATTTCCACATTGTTTCCTTCATGTATCTGAGGTAAAGCGGGATATTGATGGAGAAGCCCCACCCAGTCTCCCACCCTCCCCAGGTCCCTGATGTGGGGCATGCTCTGAGGATCTTGCTCAAGTGGCTTTGATAGTTCAACAGTTATTAATTGCTGCCAGTCTCGCCACTCCAAGCACTATGAGGTCGTTGAAGAATCCACTGATTGACATAGTCCATTATAGAGTCTCCGTTTGCCCAATTTTTTACTGCCAACATATGGCTGAGGTGGTTGATTGACTTGTTCTGTCCTCTGTCTTTTCATGGTTAGGGTTCTGAGTTCGGCAGTTCAGTTGGGGAGATCCCCAAAGAAACTTTGTCTGAGGTGTTCCCAGACCAGATTCTTGAATGTACTAGCAGGTACGGGGCCCGGCACAGTCCGTCACCCTGATCAGCTGGTGGTTGCAATTGCCGGGTTGGTTCAGTTTCCAGCTCTGTCTTCTGCTGGAACCAGTGGGTGTTGTCCTCCAGGACACCAGAGGTGTTGGGGTCTGGCCCGGTTCAGTGCATCCAATCCAAGTCCACACTTGTGCCAAGGGAGATTACAACCGTTTCCAGATCAGAATGCAGCCCCCATTCCAGGTCACACGCCCCTTGGCAGGAACCTCAACCCAGCTAGGGTTGTCCCCTTAGCTCCCCATCCGGGCCTGTTCCCTGCCATAGATCATTCGCATGCCAGTGGTTGCTCTGACTCAGCTTGGCACAGCCCCTCACTTGTCCCAACCTCTACCTTAGACACTATGGCTTAGCGTCCCTGGCTCATGTGGACCAGTAGGTACAAGAGCCTAGTTCGGCATGACCTGTGCTCCCTCCTGGTTTCTAGTTTTGCTTGTGGGCTAAGGTTTGCTCAGTCCTGCCTGATCTACTCTGTTCCATTACCAGTAACACATTAGCCAGCTGTTAGAGCTACTTTTCCCAGCTTGTCCGACCCCCAGGTCTGGACCACATGTTCACCAGCAGGAGCTATGACTCGCCAAGGGAGTTTCCCAAGTTCTTCCACTTAATCCACTCCCAGACCCAGTTCTCATACATGCCATTGGGTTTAGGCCAGTCCTGGTGGGGGTTATTGTGGGTCTCTCTGACTAGGCTGCAACTCCCACTGGTTTATGTGAGGGCCGAGTGTGTGCTGGACAGAACCAGGCTGGACTGCAACACCTATTGGTTCCAGTTGAAGTCGGGAGTGAAAACAGAACCAACCCAGCAATTGCAACCACCAGCTGATCAGGGTGATGGACTGTACCAGGCCCCGTACTTACTAGCGCATATAAGAATCTGGTTTGAGAACACCTCAGACAAAGTTTCTTTGGAGATCTTCCTAATCTAAATGCTGGACTCAGAACCCCAACCAAGAAAAGAGAGAAGACAGAACAGGTCAACCAACCATCTCAGCTACAATGGACTATGTCAATCAGTGGATTTTTCAAAGACCTCATAGTGCTTGGAGTGGCAAGATTGGCAGCGATTCATAACTGTTGAAATATCAAAACCACTTGAGCAAGAACCTCAGAGCGTGCCCTACATCCGGGACCTGGGGAGGGTGGGAAATTGGGTGGGCCTTCTGCCTTAATACCCCCCTTTAAACATGAAGGAAACAATATGGAAAAAATATTAGTCTTATCCACTTTCCTGTAGCCCTTGAACCTTTTTACCCTTATTAACTATGTAAAGATTGTCAAAAAAAATTGTAAACAAGACAAAGAAAAGAGAAGGAAAGGAGGTGGAAGAGAGAGGGAGATCAAGAGGGAAAGAGGGGATCCAGACAGGAAGGGAATATCATTGTTTCTAGAATTGCATTTACAAATCACGTTGAATCTATTAGAAACCACTTAAAAATTTTAAAAATGTTAAAAAAGAAAAAATTTATCTTAGCAATGAATTGTGTATTCCTTCATTAAGTTTAAACTTTTCTAATTGAGGGATCTTTAAAATGCATGGAAACATGTTTGTGAATAAACTGTGTTTGGATTCCAGGAAAAAAAAAAAATAATAACCCCCACCAGGCCCGCTCCCTACCCTGGTTTGCCAGTATGTGCAGCAGACTAGTCTGGTCTGTCACACATTCCCTTTAGCTCTCATACATGTCAGTGGACATTGAAGCCTAGTTAAACCCAACCAGTCCGACTATCTAGCCCACACACATGCTGTTAGGTGCCTTTCTGTCTAGCGATGCCAGTCCCTATCCTGGTTTTTGTGCCCTCCAGTGGGAGTGGTAACCCAAGAGAGAGAAGCCCACTATTTCCGTTCCTAGGCCACTCTCACTCCCGGATTATCCATTCTGCAGGGGGTTCTGCAGTGTAACTTGACAGAATTAGCCCCCAGTTCCAGCTTCTGCCAGCTGATGCTGCGGCTAAACCCAACCAACCCTCACCCACTCTAATTTTTGTTTACACCAGTAGGAACAATCATCCCAGCCTGGCTTTTCCCTGATCTAGTCCATATGAAGCCCACAGTTGGGATGCAGGAGAGAGCAACTAAAGAGGTAGAAATGCAGGGAAGCAGAAATGGGGTCAACATCCTTGTACACTGCAAGACAAAAAAGGTAGAGACTTCATAGAAAGGCCAAACCTTGGACCTGGCACAATAGTCTAGTGGCTCAAGTCCTCGCCTTGCATGTGTGGGGTTGCCGTAGGCATTGGTTTTTGTCCTGACTGCTCTACTTCACTCCTGGCTCCCTGCTTGTGGCCTGAGAAAGCAAAGATGGCCCAAGGCTTGGGACCCTGCGCTTGCGTGGGAGACCCAGAAGATACTCCTGGCTTCAAATCAACTCAGCTCCAGATTTGCTGCCAGTGGGGAGTGAGCCTGCAGATGGAGGATCTTTCTTTCTCTCTCTTCTTTATGGATCTGAGGTTCCAATCAAAACAAATCTTTAAATTTTTTTTTTAAAAAGGAAAGAAAGGCTGAGCTGCTCCTGTGTACAAGGAGAACAAGAATAGTGTCTGGATGTGGAGTGAGAACTGAAGATCTGATACAAGGAGACAGTGAGGAGGTGGTTCCCATCACTGATGTATATAGTATATAAATGATCCCGATTCCATTGTTCCCTTTTTAAAAAACTGTATATATAAAATATTGTATATTTAATATATTTTTATATCAAAAATATAAATATGTAAGATATTTATAAATACATCTTTTATATTCCCTAGAAAGGCAGAATTTCAGAGAGAGAGAGATCTTCCATCTGCTAGTTTACTCCCCAAATGCCTGCAATAAGTTAGGCGCCATGCTGAAGCCTGGAGCCAATAACATCATCTGAGTCTCCTACTGGAGAAACAAAACCCAAGCACTTGAATCATCATTTGCTGCCTTCTCAGGTGCATTGGCAGAAAATTGGATTGATTCCAAAGCAGCCAGAACTTGAACTGTCACTCTCCTATGCAAAGTAGCGATCCTATACAGCTTAGTTGGCTGCACCACAGTGCTCTACCCCTTGACTTGGTTTTTGACCTCTCTAGAATTACAGCAGGGATTGTCTTCTGAGGTGCTTATCAAGTCAGAGCTGTTTGATCTCCAGATCATTTTGTTTTTCATGATCTCTAAGGATTTCCAGTGCAAAGAGAATTTTAATAATCACGACATTTTTCTTAGTCTTCTAGTAATTATGTTTGTAATTTTTTAGTAACCATCTTTGTTTTTCCCATCATAATGCTGCTTATGCTAGGACTGTAGTCCAAAGAAGGACCAGAAAGCTCCTGCATCCTTGGTGGCTTCAGCTGGGGGTCCTTCTGCAGGCTCCAGCACACCTGCCGTTGCTTCCGCCAGTTCAAGCTCTGCACCAGCGCAAGAAACCATCTGCCTCGATGACTCACTGGATGAAGACCTTTCTTTCCACTCACCTTCACTGGACCTTGTTTCTGAAGCTTTAGCTGTTATCAATAATGGGAACAAGGGCCCTCCAGTTGGCTCAAGGGTAGGCATGCCAACTACGAAACCTCGTCCAGGACTAAGAGAAGAAAAATTAGCAAGTATCATGAGTAAGCTGCCACTTGCTACTCCAAAAAAGCTAGATTCTTCTCAGACTGCACATTCATCAAGTCTTATAGCTGGTCACACAGGGCCAGTACCAAAGAAACCCCAGGATTTAGCTCATACTGGCATCTCTTCAGGCCTTATTGCTGGATCTTCAATTCAGAACCCGAAAGTTTCCTTAGAACCTTTGCCGGCCAGGCTGCTTCAGCAAGGACTACAAAGGTCAAGCCAGATTCATGCTTCTTCTTCTTCACAGACTCATGTCTCTTCTTCCCAAGCCCAAGTTGCTGCCTCCTCTCATGCTCTGGGAACTTCAGAGGCCCAAGATGCTTCTTCGTTAACCCAAGCTACCAAGGTGCACCAGCATTCAGCTGTCCAACAGAATTATGTGTCTCCATTACAAGCAACCATTAGTAAATCACAGACCAACCCAGTGGTGAAATTGAGTAATAATCCCCAACTTTCCTGTTCATCCCCACTCATGAAGACTTCAGAGAAGCCACTTATGTACCGCCTTCCTTTATCTACTCCTTCACCTGGAAATGGTTCTCAAGGGTCCCATCCTCTGGTTTCTAGGACAGCACCTAGCACCACTACCTCCAGTAACTATTTAGCCAAGGCAATGGTGTCACAAATCTCCACGCAGGGTTTTAAATCTCCCTTCTCAATGGCTGTGTCCCCAAAACTTGCTGCATCTCCCAAACCTGCCACATCTCCTAAACCCTTGCCCTCACCTAAGCCTTCTGCCTCACCCAAGCCCTCTCTGTCAGCTAAGCCTTCAGTATCAACTAAACTCATTTCTAAATCCAATCCACCTCTGAAACCTACTGTATCCCCAACTTCTCCCAATCCAAGTGCACTAGTAGCCCAGAGTAGCCACTCCAGTAGTAACAACCCTATTCATAAACAGCCCAGTGGAATAAGCGTCAGCAGACAGTCCCCCACCTTGAATTTATTGCCCTCTAATCGTACTTCAGGCCTTCCGTCTACAAAAAACCTTCAGGCCCCTTCAAAGGTAACAAACTCATCATCCACTGGAACTGTTGGGAAGAATAGCTTGAGTGGAATTGCAGTGAATGTACCTGCCAGCAGAGGTAGCAACCATAACTCCAGCGGAGCCAATAGGACTAGTCTATCTGGGGGAACAGGAAGTGGAACACAGGGTGCTACTAAACCGTTGTCTACTCCACATAGACCGTCCTCTGCCTCAGGGTCTTCAGTGGTTACAGCCAGTGTACAGGTATGTATGCTTCCTATGTTAATATGAGAAAATACATGAGGATGAAATCTTTCTTTAAGAAATGTTTTATGGGTTGTTTATAATAGGTTTATTGCAGTTCGTGGCCATGGGAGTTCCTTATGTTCATGTCATGTGATGGGCACATTTGTGGATGAGGTTTTTGTTGGAATGTGGGCTTTCTTTTTTGGTAGAATATCACATGCTTGCTTTAAATTTTTTTGAAAAATGTAAGAATGCATATTTAAATTTACCTCTAAAAGTTCACAGCAGAGTGGTAATGATAGGAATGAAGATACATTCACTCGCCTCCCATTTTTCCTGCCAGCTCTGATTTTCTTTTAATTGAATTCACACACATTACTTTTATATCCTCAAGTGAAATGTTTTACATCGATTTTTTAGTTATCTCTGCTTAATTACCAGCAATAGTCCTTTTAATGCCAAGTTTTCCCCATTCATGAGGTTTTAAGATGCGCTTATTTTACGGTTAACTGGGACGCCTCGCTCAGGGATCTTCTCACGAAGGGATCATGAGTGTTGTCTGACGTTAGGTTTTGTGGACCTGATCATTTCGTCCTGTGCTCTCATACTTGACTGCCTACTAGTCCTGCTTTATATTCTGTAATACTTTACTGACCCTTGCTTGTGGAGAGATCTGAAGCCTTTCAGATTTTTTTGTTCCCTTGTAAGTAATATGTTTTCTCTGCTTTCGTGCTGGTAAGAGTTTTTGTAGTGACCCAGTCTATTGCTGGGTTAGTTGATATTTATTGTTAATTTTGCACCTCCGACTTGGAGTCACATCTTTCAGTCTCTGACTCAGCTAGTTTTTCAGCTCAAGAGTATTTTGTTTTATGATGTGACTGGATGTTGCTTATGATCCATTTATCCTAAGTTTTTTTTTTTTTGAGAGCTCTTGTTTATGTAAACATGTTGTCTTCCATATCATCTATTGTTTTTCTTCCTCTGCCACTTTGCATTCTTAGGTTTCCTCAGGTTTGTCCTTCACATCAATGATTTGGGACCTTAGTTTGTTTTTCCTAAAAGTAGTGCATGTCTACTCTAAGCAGATTTGGAAGAAAGAAAATAGATTCAACCCTCATTCCTATTTGTAGGTACTTTTTTTTAAAGGCTATTTTAAAGACAGTCTGTTTTGTATAATACATTATACAGCTAACTTTTTAAAAACTGTATATTCCTGTTTTATGATGTGCAGGTTCTGTATTCTCAAGTACTTGAAAGCTTGACCTTTGTTGTTTTGTGGGATTGTGTTGTTTAAGCAAGTGCTCTATCTTTATGCTGCCTTCTGCTTATATTTATTAGGAGCATTGCCTAAGACAGTCCTTCATAGTCAGTATACCTTTAACGCTGAAATCTTCATCATTTTGCCACTTACATAGTCTTAGAAATGCCTTGAACCCAGAATTGTAATATGAAACAAATGTAATTCAGTTAATCGAAATCTGCATGACTTTGCTTTAATGAGAAAAGAAGACAATATCATAAACTAATGTTGAAGATTATATGTGAAAGTTTAGATCATAGGCAAGGTGTCTGAGAATTAGTTCATACTATTGCTTATATTATCTTTAGTAAAAAAGTTAACTACCATTATTTTGTAAGAGACAGAGTAAACAGTCTTTAAGAGGAGTATGAAAGGATTTTATCAGAACTGGCTGCTCCCTGTCTCTGAGCCCCTTCCTAGTGGCCGCTACTTCCAACTCTTAGCATTTTCTTCTCTGTATATTGAAATAAGACTCATGAATGGAAACCCCTTAGTTTTATCAATTTCAGTTCTGTATTATCTTTGGGTTTTCATAATGCTAAGTCTTTTCTTATTTACTGCTCCATTGTCCTCAAAGAGTAATACCACAGTTTTGGGTTATATCCATAACCATATAAGTAATGTCTCTCTTTATCTAAATATTGCACTATGGTTTCATTTACTTTCCTATTATATGTTTTAGGCGTTTTTCTCCTGCAGTTAGAAAATGCTTATTTTCCCCACTTGCCTCATTTTATTTGAACTTAAGATTAAATCTTTCTTCATCCTTTATCATGTCCAGATGCGTTAGTTCTGTGTTTTTCTAAAAGACCTTCTTTCTGTATTTGACCATTTATCCCAGAAGGACACCGATACAGCCTAACAAAATATACTTGGTTTGTGGTTTGTCATCAGGAATGCTATATGGCAAAATGAGTGTTTCTGAAAAATAAGCCTCTCCCCTCATTTCTTCCTTTCACAAATGGCTTTATAATTTGGAGACTCTAGAGTTCTCGCTTTCTTGTCTGATCCATTTTTTGTCTTACTGTTTTGATTGAAGGAAAGGTCCTCAAGAAAGGTTGTTTTGCACTTGGGTGAACCTTGCAATTCTTTTTGTTTTAACAAAGCATCTCATTGCAGTCTTTTCAGCTTCCTTGTGGCCTTTAGATCCTGTTTATAGAGCTCCAGTGTTTGAAACATTTCCCATCTGTGCCTGTAAAGTATTCACCTCCTGTTTGAAGGCACCTGCAGCTTCCTACTTACTTGCAGAGTAAAAATGACAAAGAACAGAAGTTGGAATGTGTTGGGTTCAGATTAATAGGAACATCTGCTTTCTGCCTAATAGTTTTCCACTCCAGAGATTGCTCTTCTTTCTTGCCCATCAGCTTATTGATTTTTCCATGAGTCCTGTCTCTGTCACTTTGTAATTTCAGAAATCATTGATTCAGTATGCAAATGTTCACTGAGTATTTACTATGTGCTAGGCACTCTTCTAGGTGCTGGGGTAACACTTGACCTGAGACTTGAGTTAGCAGGGAGCCAATCCTCTGGAGATGGAAAGTCCAGTCCAGGTGAAACTAAACAGTAGCATGAAAACACTGAGGTGGGAAGAGCCTAAGATGAAGGCCTGCCTGGCTAGACAGTGCAGCCATCACCTTGTCGTGGAGAACTAACAAGGACTTGGGTTTTATTCTTTGGGTGTCGGGAAATTACTGAAGAATATTAAACCAGGGGAGTGGTATGGTCTGATGTACACTTCAAAAGATTACTCTGAAAAAGATTATTACTGTGTGCGTTGTGGAGAATGGATGACTGATATACTCACCAAAACAGAAAATATGGTTTCCAGAAGAGATTTAATTTCTACCATGGAATATCAAAGGTTTCTCTTCATATATTTCCCCTGGGACTGAAGAAACATAGGATCATTGCTAATATTTGCCTTTGTGTTTTCATCTCATATGTTCCTAAATGATACCAGCAGTGTAATATTCTACTTCTGAAAGGTATCCAGTTTTTAGCAAAAGAAATGATAAATGTCCCTGTAGCATTAGATTGTCTGATGTTTCAGTTTAGATCTATACACAAATTGAAGTAGATGTGGAAGCTCTTTGAATGTGTAAGATGTTAGACCATAATGGCATGGCAACCATTTTGATTGTTAATACTTAGGTTGTATAATTTTGAACTTGCCCAAGTATTGCTTTGCATTTACTTTAATGCTCAATTAGAGTCCTCCAGAAAAGTCTTAAGAGATTCTCCTTCTTAGCAGTATTTATTAATGTGCCTTACTAGGGGGCTGTAGGAGAGGCCTGCCGCTTTGGAGGTCCTTATCCCAATGGAAAAAAAAAATTATGATTAAGAAGAAACACTTCTTTCTTAAACTTTAGATTGATACAGAATATTTTCTATTATGATTTCCTTAAAGCATTATTATTTCTAATTTGGTAATTTTTCCCTAAAAGCAACCTCTTTGAATATCATGGCTGGCACAGTAGAGGAAAAGACAAATAAGGAAAACTCGAGTCCAAGCATGAAGTTAATGAAGATTGTACTTAATGTAGAAGGAAATGTCGGTAATAAAGAATGAGTTTGTTGGCTGTGAGCTCATTTTATCCTTCATTTTATGATGCCTGAAAACAAAAATCTAACGTCTGAGTGGTTGGGAAGAATGAGACTGTTGGTAGCAGTTAACTGAGGTAAGGGAGCTGAGTGCAGAAGATGGCTTCAGTTTTGGACGTGCAAGGTGAATGAGTGTCAGACACCCACAGGGAAGTATTCACTCACCCAAGTCTCAGATACACAGGACTGAAATCAAGACAGGAGGCCAAGCTGGTGCGTATATGTGGATCATTCAGAAAGTTCAAGGCAAATGCACATTATGACAAAACTGCATGCATTTCAGAAATTTTTGCACCAAACTAAACTTTACATTCCATTTTTCATGAACTTGGTGGGGGATATTCTAGTAACTGTGGTAACCAATAAAGGAACCTGAGAGAAAGCAAGGCAGTTAGAGTGGAAGAGCGAATAACAGCCTTCTGGAAGGAGTTCTTTCTCTGTTCAGCAATGGCATGAGCCATTTAGTTATAAAGTGCTGTTCTGTGTAATACATGGATGAGAAAATGGAGTACTTTTTTTATGAAAGAAAATAATCAGCCCCTTATGAATGCTTATTGACAGAAATAGCACACAAATTAAGAGTGCCATTGGCTGACATTATTGGCTAAAAAGGTTTTTTTTTTTTTTTTTTGAACTAGGGGAATTTAGCTTTGGTAAGATAAGGCTGTACCAAAGAGAATTCAAAATAAGTGTTATTTCATTCTGGGAACATGTGGTCTAGCAGATGTTTGTTGATAAATACAGAAAAGGGAAAAGTCCAAATGACTTAATTGCTTTAGAAAGGTTCAAATGATTAAAATAACTTTAGAGTATACCTGAAAGATTTCATAATGAAAGCTCAACAGTTATTAACTAATTTTTATGTGTTTCTGTAGATAAATGTATCAGAGCCCAAGTGAAGAAGTTAAAAGATTAATTTCTTGCCTTGAGGAGGCTAATTTTAGAAAAGTAGCAAAATGGAAGCTAACCTTCAGAGTTTAAGGAGAATAAATATTGTGGGAAATAGCCTGTTATTCAGTAAATTTCAAAGTGAAAGGAATATACATACATTTTATTGATGCTTAGAGCTGATGAAGAACCAAGAGTAATATGGTTGTAGAAAGGGTTGAGGTCCATGTACATGAGAAGGCAGAGGAAACATGAAAGATTGGAATACTAAGTGCCGGTCTAAGAAATTTCTGCAAGGTAGGATTCGTTTCAGGTCAAGTGGCTGTGCTTTGAGAAGAATACATTAAGCTTAGTGATGAGGAAGAACTTCAGGATGGCTTCATCTCTCGGATGTGATATGACAGAAGAAAGGCTATAGTAGGGCTCTGAAAAATCTGCATTGTTGTTTAAAATTGTTTTTATTGGAAAGGCAGAGAGGAGAAACAAAAAGATCTCTTCTATACATTGAGTCAAATCTCAGGTGTCCACAGTGGGCAGAACTGAGCCGATCAGGTGCCAGGAGCTGCTTCTGGGTTTCCCATGTGGATGTAGGGTCTCAGCGCATTGGGCTGTCCTCAACTCTCAGGCAGAGAATTGGATGGGAAGTGAAGCAGCTGGCATACAAACCAACACCCATATGGGATCCCAGTGCATGCAAGGCAAGGGTTTTAGCCACTAGGTTGCCATGCCAGGCCCAAAAGCTGCATTCCTTAACAGCAGTGGCAGGGTTTGTGCCACAAAAATGTAAGACAAATAGGAAAATTACTACATAGTTTCAGGGACCCTTTTGAAAGAATTATCTCCTAGTGGTTCAGGTGTGTGGGATAAGAAATGTGGAAAAGTCAAAATGTTGGACTTTAGAGAGTGAAAATGGTGTTAATGTAGGCACCGTTACGACAATTGTGAAACAGGATTCTGTAGTGATAGTAAAGAGCTGAGTACCCAGAATTTCCAAGTGGCACAGATTCTCAAGACCTGCATTGTTAGCGCTTTAAAATACATATTTCATCTAATTTTTAATCTGAAAAATTAGAACAGTCTTAAGACACAGTCTTAGTGTCCATGAGAATAGTAAATAAAATTTTTAAAAAAATGAAACAGTGTGAGTTAAATACTTTATTTTTTTATCTATTTTGACCCCTGGTTTTTACACAGTCCACAGCGGGAGCGTCATTATTGGCTAATGCCTCACCTCTGACTCTCATGACATCACCTTTTTCTGTAACAAATCAAAATGTGACTCCTTTTGGGATGCTGGGTGGCCTTGTTCCTGTGACCGTGCCCTTCCAGTTTCCCTTGGAGCTACTTGGCTTTGGAGCGGACACAGCTGGAGTGACAACCACCTCGGGATCTACCTCAGCCGCTTTCCATCATAGCCTAACTCAGAGTAAGTGGGGCTCTTTCATTCATTGGGCTGGCTAGTGTGACAGGACAGGAAACCTCACATAGTTTTTGTAGTTGAGTAGTCCATTTGGAGTTAATAGGATAATAGATGTTTCTAAGAAATGCACTTCGTTTCGTCTGTATGTATTAAGGCAAGTTACTGGAATCTAGAATTATCTTTGCAGATTCAAAAAGAAACAGATGAGTCATCCATACAGTTCTTTTCTGAGTTGTTGGGTTTGTGTAGACATCTATAGTTATGTCTCTACCCCTTTTTGAAGTGTGTATGCACTGATATTTGGAAGACCTCTGAAGGCAGGGCTGTGCTGGCATTAGATAAATCAGACTATTTTCATTTTTGGTCTAAGAGAGCTTCAACTCATAGTTGAAAGAAGATCACTGACAAGTCTGTTTTCCTCTCAGATTTACTAAAGGGTTTACAGCCAGGAGCTCAACATGCAGCAACACTTTCCCATTCACCTCTGCCTACACATTTACAGCAAACATTTAATGGTAAGAAAGCCATCTGTTTCTTCATCTCTTTATTTTTTATATAGGTGTATAGTTATTGATTATACTTTTAGGAAAATGTGAATGAAATGAAAAAATATTGAAAAATAAATTTTCATATGATTGAATCCTCATTGACTACAGACTTTTAAGAGACAAATAGATGAATGAGATCTTTATTGTTACATTTGAAAAGAACCTTTTTGGAGATTTTTATTATGTGGAATTGATGAGTAGGAAGATGCTCAATAGAATATTTAATAAAAGTCATATCCATATAGTAATTTTAATAATTTGAAGCTTTTTGAAAGCTTACTAAATGCCAGATAGTCTTGTGGTAGCTTACATGGATGAGCTGATTTGATCTTGGAACAAGCCTGTGAATTAGCAAACTTAATCAGAAAAGTACGCGCTTGCCTGAGATGATTTGATCTGAGCTACAGCCCCAGCCATTCTGATCTACAGTCTTTCTTGCTAACCATTAAACTTTCCCAAGGCTTCACAGTGATTAGATTGACATGGCCCAGGCTGGCTGGACCATGTAGCTTAGCTTGTAGCTTAGCTGAGTCACTCTGCATTCTAACCTGGGATCATGGCTGCTACACCTAACACACTGACCCCTGATTGATGCACATGCTACCTTTGTAGATTGCTGATACGAAGTCGCAGGCCATTGTCAGAACCTTTTGAGAAGTAGCTGCTTGACTCCCTTCTAAACTTGGGAGTTGTTTGGGCTTCTCCATTCTTTTTGGTCATTGCACTAACAATTACCTTTAAATCAGCTTACCGTTGAATGTGGTACAAAGTTGTGTAGCTGTCTTGAGGCAAGAGGTAGTCTTTAAAACATAAGTGCTAAACTGCCCCTGACTCACCCTTGAAAGAATGAGCATAAAACCATAATTGTACAAATTAAGTAACAGGGTAAATACAAATGTGAGCCATCCTGATCTTGCAGAAGTCAATTAGGTTTACATGATAAGGGGCAGTTAGCTTGTAACTGCACAGTTCCTCCCTAGAGCTGCTCGGAATGTTGAATCTAGCTGAGGAATATCCGCTCAAGCAGGCAGGTTGGCATGAGTGTGATCATGTGTGAGAAATTACATAGGATTCTTCTGGCTCCAGAAGGATGAGGAAGCCTTGTATGAAGTATCTTGCCATCTAAGCAGAACTATTGTTCAGAGCAGGCAAGAAAATACATCATTTTTTTCCCAAATAACTAAAGTTAACAAGTTTAAAATTTCTCATCTAACTGGAGAAACTTGAGTTTTGGGCTCAGAATTTTAGATTCTGAAATTATTCATTTGAGCTAGTTTCTTAGCTTGTTTGATCAACATGTCTCTTGTAGGCTGTGAGCACAGTATTTTTACTGGACTTCTTATTAGCATTTAAATGACAGTAACTGATGTAAAGCTTCTATCATTATGCCCAGTTTAAACTAAGCCCAATTTTTGTTAATTCTTTTATTTTTAAATTAAGTAAAAAATTAATATCAGTAAAATTCTTTAATGTCCAAAGAGTAGATATTTTAGGTTCTGTAGGAATTATTCAACTCTGTCATTGTAATACAAAAACAACTGTAGATAGTATGTAGAAATGAACATGGCTGTGTCTCAATAAAACTTTATTTACAAAAACATGTGTAAGCAAGATTTGGCTCTTGGCTCAGGTTTGCCAAACCCTCATGTAAACAATCTCACTCTCCAGTTAATATGAGTATTTTATTTTGCTAGTTAACTAAATCTGCTTTGGGCAAACTTCTGTTTAGAAAGTATCTTAGAGGGGATATCCTTGAGGTTATGAAACTGCAAAAAAAAAAAAGTTAAAAAACCTTGCCTTTTTGTCAATTTCATTATTTGCCTCCGACCAAGTATTGCTATTTACAGATGTTGGTGATTGCCTTCCTTTAACCAAAAAAGCCAAAGTTGTCACCAAAATTAATTTAATACTCTCCTTTGTATATAACTTTAGAAGATCATCTTGTTTCACTGATATTTATTTAGTAAAAGCAGGGATTTTGTTTTGTTTTTTAAATGTTTCCAAAGTGATTTAGAGCTCACACCCGGACCAAGCAGTGTGACCTATATGGTATAGTAATTTGTTCCTGTTTCCCTGCGAATTTCTGCCATTTGTGCTGCTTTCCGTAAAATCAAGGTCTCTCTCTCTGGTCTGTTTCTCTCAAGCCTGGGTTGTCTTTGGGGCTTCATTTTCCTTCTAAGCAGATTTTCTCCCTTTTCCATTGGCTCTCCAGCTCATTGAGTCCTACACTTGCCTGGGTATCACCCTTTTCTTTGCTCTTCTGGTTTGTCATTCAGCTGAAGTTTATGTGGAGTAATCCACATTTTCCTGGCAGACAGTTAAGGAACAGTATGTAAAAATAGAAACCATTGTCCTCAGTACCAGACTTTTCCTATTGCTGACAGCTAAGTTAGGCCTGGAATAAAGGTTCAGATTCTTTTCACTACCATTGTGCTATATTCATTTACATAAATCATTGAGGGTTAATTATTGAATGTAGTATGATGGCAAGCCATTTAATTCCATTTACAAGAAAATGAAATTGACCTTGTATTCTAAAGGGTTTGAAAAATGTGATTGGTCCCTTGAAAGCAGTTCTTTTATAGTCCTCCCAGAATTTGACATCCTGGCTATGAGGTAAATGTTAAGCATTTGTTAAAAAATAATCTTACAGGATACAAAAAAAGCAACTGGACCACAGTTATTTGAGTTAAAAGGATCAGTGATGTTGACTTAAAAAAATTCTCCTTTATGTTTAATCAACCCCTATAATGCTTTATAGCCTATGAGGCATTAAAGGTTGTCTTTTTAGAGATGTCATCCACATAAAAGTTTAAAGTTAATTGTTCTTTTTGCTTTATTTGTTTTTATCTATTTTTTATAACATGCCTATCCATACCGATTTAACATCTCTTTTTCTCAGATGGAGGCCAAAGTAAAGGGGACACTAAATTACCACGGAAATCTCAGTGACTTCCCAGCAAGCCAAGGAGACGAAACATTTAGTTGGCTGATGGAATCTACCTGATGGGAAAGTACTTTTGTGGTCATAGGGCTGCTGTTTCTGTCGATGTTTACATTCTCTCGTCCCAAGCACTGTGGTGAGGAGGAAAAAGAAAACATTACTTGAGCAAAGCCAGGTGCAGGAGGAAGAAATGCTTTTGTGCAAAGCTAGTGACCTTCGGTCTCTTCTTAAAGACAAAGTTACCATATTAGCTGACTTGAACGTGACTCAGTTGTCAAACCCACAGAAATACATATTTGATTTTTCCCGGGGGATGATGAAGGGTGTTGAGAGGATTTGGGTAAACTCCATCCATCTTGGGGGTTGGCTCTGAATACTTGTAGACATAATTGCATAAAGGCAATATATCTAGAATTGGGTCACTCTATCAGGAGTAATGACCATGTCTGTTTAAGTGGACTATGTAGCAGATTTGCCACAAAAACACTGAATGACCCTATGTTTTATACAGACAGTAGATGAAGAAATAGTGTACCCTCAAAAATCCTGAGCAAACTTGAATCTTCTCCAATGTGTAGCAACGCCCCGTGTAAGTCTGTGTACTAAAGATACTTCAGGAATGTGATTTTAGCACAGTGGTATATATTATTAAATCATCTAGATTTTTTTTTTCTTAAGTCAGGAAATTGAGCCTGTCGCTCTTAATAGAAGAAACCTAGATGTTCCCTTTTTGTAAAAGGGTCAATTTCATCTTCCATTTAGAAGCAGGTACTTAATTCTTCTCTTTGCGTGATTGACTTGTTCTCATTTCTATTTTGGATGCTCTTGAAAAATGGAGATTTTTGATAGGGTTACTGCTTTTGTGCTTATAGCCCTTGCAAGTTACTGACATGAACTGTAAATTTCCCCCAAATTCACCTCACTCCACTTGTTTTTTTTTTTTAAGTTAGTGGTACTTCAGGTGGTTATTAGCTATTGATATAAACAGGTAGAAGAATGTACTGAATACTTTTATGCTTCTTCATTGATCATTCAAATGGTGTGTGTAGTTTTTTTTTTAACTTTTAAGATGATGTTTAAAGGGAGAAATTGCATTAGTATCATTGTGTATACAAGGGATTATATTTTATAACAACCATAATGTATTTTTACTCCCTATATCCATTGTAGTGGAATTGTTGGGAGTATTTGGGATCTTAAAGCTTTATTAGTATTTATTCAGAACATTAATACAAGCAATCCTGCAGATGAGACACTTTAGTTATTATAGCCTCCTTATGCAAAACGTCACAGATGACGAAGGATGCTAAGGGAAAAACTCAGAGTTCTCTTTAGATGTATTTTATGGATTTTCCCTCATCATTCTAGTGTCTCTTCTTCCAGTTGATCAATATTTTCTAACTATACCCAAGAATAGTGTAAGCTCCAAAGTGGTGTAAGGTTGGTCCATTTTTGATGAGAGACTAACTCAAAAACAGCATTAGACTGGCAATGCCAAGATTTCTATCATGAGTTTTCATTGCACGTTGCCCTACACCAGTGGTGGGGAACCCTTCATCTGCCAACAGCCACTTGGATATTTCTAACATCATTCGCAGGTCATAAAAAAATCATCACCTAACAATCAGCCTGCTCTGGAGTTACTGAATTTTGAGTTCCACCTATAGCTGCCTCGACAGGGCCAAACCAAATGCTGTTGCAAGCCTTATATATGGCCCACAGTGTGAACGTTCTCCACCCTACCCTACGCTGCTGATGTTTATTCAAATAGTATTAATTAGACGCGTTTCCCCTTTGGCAAATGAAGCTCTCAGCCTACAGGACTGTGAATAGATACTGCAAATCTTGGCTTCTAAGTCACATTGGCTTGCTTCATAGCAAATAGTAATACTAAGAAATGACTGAAATCTTTAGTTCTAAGAACTTGTTACAGTAAGAAAAAGGATTATTTCAGATTGATAACTTTTATTAACTAAGAATTTAGTCTCCCAGTAAAACTGATTTAGATGTTGTGCAAGCCCCAGTAAAAATTACAGAACAGTACTGGGGTATATTGAGGTTTGACTTGAATTCAGTGTTTTTTTATTAGGTTTTTTAATTAAGGAAACTTGCTCCGTTCTTGATTTATTGCAGTGTAGTGAACTTCTTGCTTTTCTCTTTGCAAATGCCGCCTGGTTTAAGTAGTAGATGTTTTCTTTTAGAAAAGCAGGCTTTGATTTACTTCTTCCTGCTAACTGTACATGTGTTCCTCTGTGTGTGTACTTGTGGATGTCTATACACACATAGTTGTATAAATTCAACACTAGTGTTAAGGTAGAAGAATAATCATTTATTTTCTTATATCCAGCAATCATGAACCTGAATCATGTCATAAGATTCCTGATGACTTTGTCTTCACTGGAAAATAGAATTATCATGTCGGCCCCCCTCCCCTGTCCATAATGTTATACTAACCAATGCAAATATCAGAAGGCCCTTGAGTCTGAGAATATAATATGGAGATTATATTTCATTTCCTCAGTCTTGATTCCTTGAGGACTATTGTGAGATTTCCACTTCAGCAACCTTCCCCCATGTTTTTACTGCCCAAATATATTCATTTCAGTCAGGACAACCCTTTATGTTGCGTAAATGAATTATACCTTCTTGTCTTTCTTCATAGATAGAATATGATCAGAGAGTTTCTACATGTAAATACAAGTCTATTTCTTTTCTAGATCATAACACTGAAAATGGTGCCCATTCTTTATGGTCACTTAATCTTACGGTTTTTATTACTAGAAGACATAAATTGATTATTTTTTAGCACAGAGACTTGTGACTCATACTGTATTTTTGCACTTAAAATCAAATTATGTTATTTTTTAAAATGGTGAGTAATTGGAAAGGATATCTATAGATCCATGTGTATTTCTATAGAGCATGAGCAACATCGAAATGCAAAAACTGATCAGCACACTTAGTTACCTCCCACTCAGCGGGATTCTTAATTCAGGAAGATTAAGCTATTTATTTCTGCCTGTCTTATATTTTCAGTTGCCTTCACTGATATATAAGCTGTTACTGTACATACAAGTTAATCCTCAGTATTCACAAGCAATAATGGTCAGCAGTGTTGTCCTCAGAGAGAGCCGTGCTGAGCCTTGGTTGGAGACTGGGAGCAAAGTGTCAAGCTCATTCAGAGCCTCCTGGATAAATGCAAGCAATAATTGCCATGATAAGTCAATTATGATTCTTTTTTATGTGCTTCTGAGATCAGAGGGTAAAAGAAATCGTGATTTTTAAGATAGCCTGAAGGAAAAGGTTCAGGAAAAGAATTAAGATTAATCTGTAATCACCAAATCTTGATTATGTTGAGGAAATTGGAGAATTGTGTTAGTACATACTTTCATGCCCACCACCCCTTTGATGGATGATGTTAGCCCAAATTAGGCTTTTTTAAAATATCAACATTGAATAGAGTGTGTTGAATCACCAAGGTAAGAGGAAGAACCGGGCACATTCATGAGTACTGTGGGTTTGACATCTGTTTGAAAACAACTTATTGGAACTGATTTTTAACCCAGGATATTTTTTTTTCCCAAAGCAGATCTAAATTGTTTACTACCCAGGGATGGAAAGGGCAGGCACCTTTAGTTTTCTCTTCTGGCTGCCTTGTCCCACAGCCCTTTCCACCTCTGCTTGGGTCAAGACATTTTCTGAAATGAAATTGTTATTCAAACTGCCAATCATGATGAGAACACTGTCCTTTGGGATCATCTCTAGAGCTCCAGTTATCTATCGTATTTGCTGCTACATTTGTAAAATGAACTTTGCCTATATTGGTTGATGTTAATTTACAGCTGTTAATTTCTAGGAGACTCTCATATCATTTGACCCGTGTATAGGTTAGGATGTTTATTTTAGGAGTATACCATAGAAGCACACTGGTTCCTGTGTTGTTTTTATCATTTAAGTTTTGAATTTATGTTTGCTTATTTTGTTTGGTTTGGTTTTTTAAAGTTGGGAATAGAAGAATGAGAGTCAGTAATTAGGCCAAACTTGAGAATTTTCCTTGTGTTTCAGCACTATAATTTCTGCTGACTTTATATTCTCAGAAGGGGCACTTTTACTTTTTATTGTGCATATATGATTGTTTTTTTTGTTTGTTTTTGCTGGGGGGCTTTGATTTTTTTTTTTTAAATAATGCAGGAGAAAAGTACAGTAGTAGGTAAATGGCTGATCACAAACATGTTATGCAATTTTATTTTATAGAATTTTAAGGGGGAAGTTTAACTCTGTAAATTGTTTTAAGCTCTGGTAAATGCATATATTGCTCCTCTCAAATATGCTCAATTCAGGCCTTTGTCTTTGTTAAGTGCCTTTTTTTCTTTTTTCCCCTCTTGAAGAGCTATTCTCTGATGTCCTACAGTACAGGCTAATTAGGGGGTTCAGGAAGAAGAATCTCAAACTTGCCAACTGTCCCATCATGCTGTGGTATTTTCCTTTTCTTAATATGTACATAGATATGTGTGTAAGATACATATAAAACTAGCAGCTGCTGTACCATTGTATCCTTTCCAAGCACTCCCCTTTCAATGTTTGCAAAACGTCAGCCTTGTTTATTCCATTGCTTTTAGTTGATGAAAATATGTGGATTGGGGAATTTTCTTTTCATGAGATGCTGTCTTCCCCCTTTGAATATCTATTTGTAGCAGTTAACAAATATCTATGTGTATGTATATATATACATACATATATATACATGTCAGATATTACAGGTGTAATAAATTTAGTGGACACGTTAACTATATTTGGATATAACCCACGGTTCTGTGCCCTTTCAGCTTGGCATGAGTAATGTAGGAGAAAGCACTGGAATAACAAGAGTGTCTTGCGGGTCACATTGCTAAGGTGTGTTGTGGCAAGGGAGACTTAATGATATATGAGAAGGCTAAACTTAGAGCCACACTATCTAAGTTTTGAAGGAAGTTAGCAACTTTGTCAACATCAAAAATGTATTTTCTTTTAGGTAATAAGTTTTTGAAGAAGTCCTGCAACTGCGTATATGTTAAGGTGTTAATAAATTTAGAAGTGATTTCAGATACTGAGGAAAATGCATAATCTAGAGCAGTCTTGAAAGAGCTTCTGTTTTTGTTTGATTTGCCAGATAAGAACATTTGACTTACCCTGATTTTACAATTTGTATTTCCCCCCATGGCTTGAGCAAAGTAACAAGTCAATCTTAGATCCTGAAAGTTACTATTGATTTGTTTCTTACTAAAAATATGTAGATGTGATATGTTGAAATCCCAGAAGTAAAATGCAAGTGCATGTCCCCTTTTAAATAAATGTTGTAATTGGGAAGAGGAGACTGATAGCCGAAAACCAGTAAGCAGAGGCTTCTGGTAGCAAACCTATTGCCAAGTGGCTGGAATTCAGTCGCCAGTGTTAACTCCTGAATCACCATATCTACGGGGAATATTGTTTAACCTTGGTGCCTCAGATTACCCATTAGACGTTTGGGTAGAATAATATTCACCTACCTCCCAGGGATATCAGAGACTTTACTATTTCAAAAATATTTTGAGTTTTTCTAAAATGTCCTATATAATTAAAAATATTATCTTCCTGCAGAGGCTGAAAAGTGATTTCCTTATAATGAACTTAGAAAGCACCCTACGATTTTTAAGTTAAAATCACTGGAATTCTAACTTAGATACATGTTTGTTATTTAAACATATTATATTTGTGGTGGGAGAAAATGGTTAGTTCCAGTTTAATAAAGGAGAGAAATGACACTAAGTTTCTTCATTATAAATAGGTTCTTTCTTTTTTTTTTCTTTTTTTTTTTTTTTGTCTTTGATGGTGTCATTACTTGTGATATTTGATAAAGTTGTGGAGCTCAAGTTAGATAAAATATGGCTGATTGGTTTTTGGAGCTGATAAACGATTCTGAAGGTTTTATCTGCCTCACTTTGCCATGTTCTCCATCTCATTTCCTCATATAAGTTCTTCAGTGATGGATAACTAAACTTTTAACTTCCTAAGAATGAATGGGGTTCTTGGTCATTAGACAGTAAATCAGAGATTGTACTCTCTGGTAGCTGTGGGGCTGCCCCACTGTGCGCTGAGTAAGCAAACCCCTCACACAACCGGCTGGGAACACACCTAGGCATCTACCTTGGGAACTCATGCTTTTCAGCTGGTGAAAGAGGTAGAGCCATCGGCTACTCATGTTTTAGGGAACTGGGAGAGGGAAGGAGGATCTAATTCCTAGCCTGGGTGATGAGGTCATGGATGGACCATACTGAGGCATTGTTTTTCAACTCCCCGGAGGAAATGAAAGTAGTGTTATTTCACTGTTCATTCTAGCTGGGAATAAGAAAGAACGAATGGTACATTTTTAGGTAGGGCTAAGTGCTGAGCAGGAATTGTTGGAGAGAGAGAGGAAAAAAAAACCTGTGTGTGTGTGTGTGTGTGTAGCTTTAAATGGTAGTAGCACCTATTCAGGATGAGGAAACAGAATGTGGGGGGATTGGAAGAAGTGAGTTAGCAGAATGCCCCAGGCCCGAGCAGACACAATGTCTGGGGTCTAGTTCCGAGGATTAGTTAATGCCCAGTTTATCTCTAGTGATACGGTTTGGTTTTGTTTGAACCATTTTGGGCTTTTCTTTTTTTCAGCTAAGACCTTATTCAGAAGCTCCTAAATCTCTATTATGCAAATATACTCATTGCCCTTTTTTACATTCTTCAGATAACAAATTTTTAGACTTCTACCCAAAGAAACAAGGATTCTGATAAATGTATTTTCCCTGGGGAAAATTAATGGAAGCATAAATAGAGATATTTTTGTTCATCTGTTCTAAACTGTCCCCTTTTATTAAAAAGAGAAAAAACTATGAATCTCAGTGCTTAAGAACTGTGGTTAGTGTCATGAGATGCCTGAGTTGATAGGATACAATCAATCTGATGATCATTCTGAAAACGTTGCTTCAAACAGTGGTCAGGTTAAGGAGTGAGCAAGTGGTCAGATGTACCAGTTGCATCCTCAGTGGTGTCATCTGCATTCTTTAGTGTGAGTGTAAGTAGTTCATTAGCCCGTTGGTGTGCAAGAACCCAAGTTCTGTGTTGTCAGGAGTCTAGAAGGCGCTGTCTCCTCCTTGCTGCGCCCCTATTGAATTGCCTGCAGTAGGAGACGGGAACTGCCGAGCAGAGAAAGTAGACAGAGACTGTTAGGATGTTTAATCAGACTGCCGTGGGGTGACTTGGTATGAAGTTACATTTTTCTTACATACTCTGGAAGTTTTATTATTTGCTTGAAAACACTGATGGATTACTCTTTTACTTTTTTTTTTTTTGACCTTTCTCATATCGTGATATTTCCACTTCTCAATCTTCGTCTCTCCACTTCAGATTCTTTCTCACATGGTTAGCTAGGCAGATCAAGAGTGTGTTTTGAAATCTCAGTAGTGTAAGTAAGAGCCTAGACGTGCAGGGCATGGACTCATCAGCAGGCATCCCTGGACTCATCAGCAGGCATCCCTGGACTCACCAGTTGGCATCCCTGGAGTAAGACTTCTGTATAATGTGGCAGTAGCTGCATTTCATGTCTTCCTCTTGATGCAATTCGAGGTTTTTCAGAAGGGATGCAGACCTTCCTTGGGAGCTCTTATTTCTCATAAGCGTCTGCCATGCTTGGTTCCATACTTTCTTGTGATCTTATGTCGTGAAGGTCTGAGTCAAGTCAGTGCTAATTTTGTGTCCCTCAAAAAACTTTAAACTATTTGCTCTCATTTTGCTAAAGTAATTCTATTTTATCTTAAGTTTGGTTTTAAATACCTTATAATGAAGTACTAGTAGAAACCTAGTTGAAATCCAAATAAGATGCCTGTTAACTCTAGATAATGGATGTACTTCAGAGCTCCATCTGTCGTGGAAATGCATTTGGGAGTGCGCATGACCGCATCCAGCCAGCTGACTGTTCTGTATGTGACAAACTGCACTTCAGTTATCTTGGTTATCTTTGACTTCCTATCTATAAACTTTCTGTTTTTGCTTCTCTCTCTCTTTCTCTGTCTCTCTCTTTCTCCTCTTTTTCTTTTTTGTTTTTTTTAAGGGGTGATATGCCCTGTGTCAGATAGCTGGGTTTTCCTTCTCATACCTATAAAACTACCAAGAAATGCCCCCAATTTTGGCTAGAGGCATTGAAAGGAGGTTATTCTCAGTTGATAGGTATTGCTGTTACAGTAGGAATTTGGAAAGATGACCAACTTTGGTCAATTTCATTTAAAAAAAAAAAAAGTCTTGGCTGTCATTAATAATGACATACAAATGTCTGAGACATTTTGATAAAAATGGGGCCCTTCCATCAGCAGACAGAGGTTCTCGGCCTACGGGTGATTTCCTCTAATAAATGGCCAACCTCGAGAGAAGGTTCAAGTGTCATATTGTCTGTCCTTTTGTTGGTTTTCATTAAAACTTTGTTTTATTTTAGTAAGTAGCATAAAATTAAATTATTCTTTAACAAGAAGAGCATACAAATCAAGGGTTTGTACTTGGTGGTGTTCATAAAATATTTGTACTTGGTGGTGTTCATAAAAGAAGGGGAAAGGAATCTCTGGTTGGTGAACACTCGGTGCCCTGAACTTGCTATCAAAGTCAGTCAACTAAGGTAACCAAGAGATGGGTGTTTCTGTCTTTGATTATAAGCAAGGACGTATTTGCAGTTACAAAAATGATCATGAAGCTGCAGATTGATTTGCTGTAACTGATGGGAATGATAATTCTGAATTTTATTTTATAATATGGGCTAGCACACATTTCCAACCCTTTATAATATGAATTTCGATAAGCAGAAGACTTTTGTTAGGCAGCAGAAGGAAAAACACGACTTATCCATACCGTGAATACTCACTTGGCTGAGGAGCCTCCCCCAGATAACACATCTTCCTCTTTCTTTAGCCACATCCATACTTTACAAATGTCAACAAGTTTTCAAAACCAATCTTGAAGGAAGGAGCCTAAAGAGTTGATATTCCTGTAGTTGACAGGCACAAAATACTGTATTGCGTTTGCGTATAGGATGGTGCGTTTTCATAAACTTGAAGGGATATGCTGTATTTCAAATAGTGTGTGACTTAATATTTTGGGATTTTATTTTTCCTCCTTTAAAAACTGGACCTGAACACAAGCTTTGAGTTGATATTTGTAATAATCTCAGGACCTGAAAGATTGTAGCATTTAGTGTGTCTTAAAAAATTATGTACTGTACCAGCCATGGATTTTTGTAAATATGCCTGTCTCCCTTTTTTGTATTATTTTAGTAAAAAGATAATAAATTTCAATAAGAGGGGTTGGTGATGACATGTGAGTGGGTGTGGGTACGTGTGTGTGTGTGTATGTGCGTGTGTGTGTGTGTGTGTGTGTTTGCATAAGGCTCTTTGGAGACAAATTGGTGCTTGTTAAGTTTCCGGCTGAAATGGGAGCAGGAATATGGACAAACTGCTGCTACCGAGCCCTGCGCTGAGCCTCCATATTCCCAGTTCGATGTTCCCAGTGGCTGATGAAATGCTGGTTCCCGGGGCGTAACTTGGGGGGGGGTAACATTCTTCCCGCTGCCATCTTGCCTTGGTATTTTCAGTTCTGAAGGTCCCTTAAACTTGAATGGCTTAAAGTGCTCCCAACTTCGCTGTCCTCTAGTTTTTGGAAAATTCTTTTTCATTCTCTCCTAAGAAAAAAGGAAGAGCAGATGATTTTTTTTTAAACCAGAAAGCTGTGTTTGATTAAAAACAGCAACAATGAGATGTATTTTGGATGTGTGAGAGGGCACCAACATTCCTAAGTATGGATCTGTAAATCTAGCAGATTAGCCCCCTGGATAGCCTCCCTTCAGTGCAGGGCCTTTTGTCTCTTTTTAAATTGTTTTGCAACAGCCTTGCTCATATTCCAGGTGTCGCTGGCAAACCCCTGTTTTGAAGCAAGAGCCTTATTTGATTCGGTGTAGATGTTTCCTGTCTATCCTTTGTGACAGGGCTTTTTACATGAGTATTTTTTTCTTTTTGTATGTGTCACGTGTTTGTTGTATTAAATAAAGAGGAATGTACATATTATTCTTGTGTCTGTTGTGTTCTTGGGTTATTCACCTGGGTTTTCGTGGCACAATCCTTGAGTGGCTCTTGAGTATCTGTTGGCTGGACTGCACTGTGCTAGGCGCTTTGGGATGGAGAATGGGAGGACGCAGTCCTCAGCCACAGTGTCTGCACAGTTTTCAGTCACACGCAACCATTAAACATGTTGCAAACATCTGATCCATTGCTGCTTGACATTGGGATTCAGAGCTGGGAGGAGTGGCGCTGGTGCAGTCTTGGCTTAGTGATTGACGATGCTCGAGGTGGGACTGCAAGGATGGGGGCGGTTTGGCCGTTGGGAGTCTGCTGGGAGGTGTATATTTGGATTGGTAGAGAAAGACAGCTGCTAGTAGTCCTTAAATGCAGGCTCCCCACATCGTTCCTTTGGGTGCTAGGATGAGTGTGTATTGGGTGATGCTTCCAGGGTCAGGGCTTAAAGTGTAGGCATGGGAAGTCTCTACAAGTCATCATCTTGCTTGTGAAAGACTTTCCTGTAAGAGACTTGTAGGAAAAGAATAGAGACAAGAAAAGGAATGCAGCCTTAGAGAGACTGAGCAGTTTGTAAGTTCGTAAATATATTTAAATATATTTTCACCATATTATGAAGATGAAAAAAAGAAACTATTTTCAAAAAGCCATGGGTTTGTGCAGAAGTGGAAGAAGGTGGCTACGAGTTCCTGTGTTAACAAGATTGCAGGACAGTCCTGCAAAAGTGTGTTTGTGGGAGTAGTTGCCATTCAAGGAGTTTTTGCTTTTCTTTTTAGTTATTTAGATGAGAGAAAAAGTAGGTAGAGAGCTTCCATCTGGCATTGTAGGCCCTGCCTTCCTGCGGCACCATGGCTGGGCCGTGCTGAAGCCGCGCTCAACAGAGACCTCCCACGTGGATGGTAACAATGGGCTTCTTTGAGATATCATCATTGATTCCCATCTGCAATAGGAAGAAACTGGAACCAGGATTTAAACCTGAGTGTCAAATCCAGATGCTGTAGTGTGGGAAAGAGTTAACCTATATCTTAATCATTAAGTTAAATGCCTGTCCCTAAGGGTGCTTTTTTTAATGCATGTGAAGCCCTTAGTGAACGCCTCACACATAGTGAGCTTGTATAAATAACATTTTAAAAAAGGGCTTATTTCTTCACATGAAAGAATGACACAAGGAGATCCTCCATGCACTGGTTCACTCCCCAGATGGCAACCACAGCCAGGAATGGGTTAGACTGAGGCCGAGTCCATTCTGTCTCCCACATGGTGGCTGGAGCACAAGTGTTTGGGCCATCTTCTACTGTTTTCCACTCATGTGTCAGCGGGAAGCTGGATTGAAACATAGCAATGCAGGCCTCAATCCAGCACTCCGGAATGAGATGCCAGTGTCACAGGCTGCAGCTTAACCAGCTGTGCCCAAGGTATTAGCTCTACTACCATACTAGTTTTGTTTCTTAACTCTTGAGTGTAAAGCAGACTAGGGAAAGCTTTTTAAAAACATAATCCAAAAATATGTTTAACAAAGAATCGGGAAGTTAGCAAATAGAAAAAAAAAAAGTCCTTGGGGGGTGGAGCTGATTGAAGGCCAGGTGTACATATTGTTCAAGGGAGCATAGGAGAATATGTAAATGGGAAACACACTTTACACTTGGTTTTTGTTGGAAAGTCAGATGTACAGAGGAAGAGAGACAGTGAGAAAGATCCTCCATCTGATGGTTCACTCCCCAAGTGAGCCGCAATGGCCAGTGCTGTGCCAATCCGAAGCCAGGATCCAGGAACTTCTTCCGGGTCTCCCACGCAGGTGCAGAGTCCCAAGGACTTGGGCTGTCCTCGACTGCTTTCCCAGGCCACAAGCAGAGAGCTGGATGGGAAATAGAGCTGCCAGGATTAGAACCGGAGCCCATATGGGATCCCAGCGCGTTCAAGGCGAGGACTTTAGCTGCTAGGCCACGCCGCCAGGCCCTACACTTGTGCACAGAGGCAAGAGGCACCAGGGCTGGTTCAGAAAAAGGTGCATGGACCAGCAACCAGAGGTGAAGTTTGAAACCAAATTCCACAAATCAGTGACGGAGCTATTTTGCTTTTACAAAT